GATAGATAGATAGATAGATAGATAGATAGATAGATAGATAGATAGATAGATAGATAGATAGATAGATCTCCCAGACTGTCGATGTGGCTCGACCTCGCCCTCGCCTGCGCCATGCAAGATCCTCCTTCTCTGGAGTCTGAACAAGGGTTGGCTGGGTCCCTTCCTTCCTTCCTTGATGGGGGGCGTTGTAAAAGTGGCGATATCGATCTACCGTCCAAAACGAGACTACTAAGCCGACTCTATATATAAATCAGGCTTGTTCAATGATAGAAATAACTATAACATAATACAATTCCATCGTCACCTCGGCAGCGAGCGTCGAGGGGGTGTATTTCTGCCGAAGGAGCTTCACGGCTCGCTTTCAGGGGTTGAACTATAGAGGCATATGATAACTCGAGAGACCCACGGCGTCAAGAAATTAGAAACAAGAGCTCTGCACCGAGACCGAGCGATCTTCCTCTGGGCTTTTCTCAAGGCTGTTTTGCCAGCATTACTTGCTTTTTTTTTCCTGACTAGGAGACAGACACTACAGAAGGACGCGCCGGTCCTGTGCCGTACGGTATGGTGTGCCTACGACCTCAGTATAGCTGAGCTGCTATGTGCTAAAATCATTTATTTGCCTCTTCAACAGTAGAGCCATGAAAGCATCATGTCAGACTGAAGACATCCGACATCCATAGACGCGCGTAGCAAGTGTCGACCGAATTTTCCCCCCAAGACCAACCAACAACAGGATATTCCACGCACGTCGCATTTCATTCATGACAACCAATTCCCTTACCACCTCTATTCCACCCAACCATCCATACCAGGATATGATCACCAATCATTAGGGTCAGACTTGATCTCACCACGATTCGTCTTGGGCAGCGGCACCGCTTGGACTTTATTGGGGCCTTTACCCCACTTCTTCAAATACCCACTGCCGTCCAACCAGGGTGTATCGAGAGTCCGTTTCCTCTCGAACGCCGCGATCTTGTCCTCCTGCTGCATCGTCAGGCCGATATCGTCGAGCCCATTGACGAGACAGTGCTTCCGGAACTCCTCGACCTCGAAGGTTGCGAGCTCGTTGCCAGAGGCGTCCCGCACCACTTGGTTCGGCAGGTCGACTTCGATTTCTCGGCCGGCGCGCGCCTCGGCGGCGATTTTCTCCAGCTTGCTTTGGTCTGTGATGCAGAGTGGCAGCATGCCGTTCTTGAATGTGTTGTTGAAGAAGATATCTGCGTAGCTCGGCGCAATGACGCATTTGATACCGAAGTCCAGGAGTGCCCAAGGGGCGTGTTCGCGTGATGAGCCGCAGCCAAAGTTGGGGCCTGTCACCACCAGTATCTTGCTCTGTCGGTAGGGGTCTTTGTTCAGCACGAATGACGAGTCTTCGCTCCCGTCTTCGTTGTATCGGAGGGGGTGGAATAGGGCGGTGCCGAGACCGGTGCGCTTGATGGTCTTGAGGAATTGTTTGGGGATGATGGCGTCGGTGTCGACGTTGGCTTTTTCTAACGGTGCAGCGATGCCTTTGAAAACAGTGAATTTGGGGAAGCCGCTTGCGGAACTGCTTCCTCCGGTGCTGCTGAGGTGGTTGGTTGCGGTGGATGTGCTATCTGTGGGGATGTCGAGAATGCGGTCGAGTTCTTCTTCAGAGTCGACGTCGGGGAAAGCAGCCGTGACGTCGAGTTTGGGCGATGCCTTGGCGGGTGTTGTATCGTCTGAGAGTTTTCTCACGTCCGCCAGCTTGCCCACAATTGCGGCGGCGGCGGCCATGACTGGTGACATTAGATGGGTGCGACCGAGAGCGCCTTGTCGACCCTCGAAGTTGCGGTTGGATGTACTGGCACAGCGTTCTCGCGGGGATAGAATGTCGGGGTTCATGCCTAGACACATGGAGCAGCCAGCTTCACGCCACTCAAAGCCCGCATCGACGAAGATCTTGTCCAGGCCTTCCCGTTCTGCTTGCTCCTTGATGTTGCCAGAGCCCGGTACGACCATTGCTCGCTTGACATTGGGTGCGACTTTCTTGCCGTCCACGATCTTTGCGGCGGCACGGAGATCCTCGATTCGTGCGTTTGTACACGAGCCGATGAAGACTTTGTCAATCTCGATATCCTCCATCGGGGTACCGGCTGTCAGACCCATGTATTCCAGGGCTCGCTTGCAGCTCGCTTTCTTATTGGGATCCTCGAAGTCATCTGGACCAGGGACTTTGCCACTAATGGGAACGACGTCTTGAGGCGAAGTACCCCAGGAGACAGTAGGTGAGATGTCTTTGGCATCAATGAAGACCTCGGTGTCATACTTGGCACCCTCGTCTGATCGTAAGCTTGACCAGTAATTGACCGCTTTGTTCCATTCGTTACTGTCTGGCTTGGGTGCAAGAGGTCGACCCTTGAGATATTCGAATGTGGTCTGATCAGGTGCAATCATGCCGGCTCTGGCACCGCCTTCGATGGACATATTGCAAACCGACATGCGTGCCTCCATGCTGAGGCCACGGATTGCGGAGCCACAGAATTCAATGACTGCGCCGGTACCGCCTGCAGTGCCGATAACACCAATCACATGTAGAATGATGTCTTTGCTGCTTACGCCAGGTGCTAACTTGCCGTCGACCTGTACACGCATGTTTTTGCTTCTCTTGGTGATCAGACATTGCGTGGCCAGCACGTGCTCAACCTCACTGGTGCCAATACCGAAGGCCAAAGCACCAAAAGCGCCGTGTGTCGAGGTATGACTGTCTCCACATACCACCGTCGTACCTGGAAGAGTGAAACCTTGCTCAGGCCCGATGATATGGACGATACCCTGGTTCTTGTCTCCAAGACCGAAATATGTCAGGCCAAAGTCCTTGACATTCTCCTCGAGGGTGACACATTGTAATCTGGAGTCTTCCTCTTTGACGAACTCGGCCACGTTCTTGAAGTTTTTCCTAGGCGTCGTGGGGACATTGTGATCTGTGGTGACGAGTGTGCAGTCTCTCCGTCGGACGTCTCGCTTTGCGTTTTTTAGCCCTTCAAAGGCCTGGGGTGATGTGACTTCATGGACGAGATGTCTATCTGGGGACGAGTTAGATCCTGAAACCCGGTGAATTTGTGGGTGTTGACTTACCGATGTACAACAGGACAGTGCCATCGCTTTCCTGGCTCACGACATGCTCTTGAAACACCTTGTCGTAGAGGGTTCGGGGTTGGGAGTCGGCTGAAGGCATATTGAACGGACTGGAAAGATACAGACCGAGTTATTCTTTCGTGATGGATTTCAACTAACCGGCGTCCGCCAATTTCCAATCGAGTTGATAGATATAGGGAAATTCTGGGGTGCGTCTGTATTGCCGACTTCGGAGGGCTGATGAGTGAACTTTCTGGTATGGGCAAATGTTGGGGAGGGGTAGTCGGTATTGTGCGAAGGAGATGTTTATTTCGCCGAATCACGAGTATTCTGCGCGCTACAAGACTATCGACCTTGGCAAGTGCGAAGGTGAAAAGATTCGCAAAATAGACAGCGCCACTTTGTGAAATAGAGAATCTCCATGATGACATCTCGTCGTTGCTGATTCGTGGATGGCTGGCAACACTCCAACGCCGTCCTCCGCTTCGGCCTCGAATTGTTCTCAACTTTTGCCGTAAGAAAGATCTTTTAGTTGCCATACCGATCTCGGTGTTTTGCTATGACTCAATAACCATACGAAGACGTGTTTGAAACTCTATAACTATCATGGCATCAAACAGCGATATCGGCAGCGGTATACTGAGGCTGAAATATTGGGAGAAATGTTCGGCCTGGGACAGAGGCAGGCTCGGCCAAGGCCATTGTTCCCCGGGTTCCTGCTACCTACATACCTACCTATGTAGATATGCTCATGTGCGGCTGCGCTGGTATGCTGCAGCGAGTGAGAATCCCCCGCCATTTGTCCTGGCAGTTCTGTGCGATGATTTGACTGGAGGAGGTACCTAGGTAGGTGGTATTTTATGCAAGACCTGAAGCGGAAACACATATTCACGCGCGAGTGCGGCTTTATATATTCACGCTCACGTGCCCTCTGATGAGCCTCATATACCATCATACGTTCCCCTTTCCCAGACTGAAAGATGTACGATTCTTTTCCCTATGCAAGAGTCTATTGAACATTCATATTCATAGGACCTCAACTGAGCCATCAGCACACTGGAAATGTTGGGTATCAGGACTCGGAATGAAATCTCAAACGGCTGGAAATGGCGATTGGCCGACGCCAATGGTAACTCCCAGGCAGAGGGATTACCAGAGCTCAAAGAATGGCATGCCGTACAGGCCTTTCCATCTGTCATACACTCCGAACTGTTGGCGAACGACATCATACCGGACTTCAGGTCCGGCGAGAATGAACGTTTGATACAGTGGGTTGGCCACGCCGATTGGGCATACTCGACGTCTTTCTCGACGCCTAAAGATCTCGATAGCGACTCGTCCGTCGACATGGTGTTTGAGGGTTTGGACACTTTCGCGACAGTAACGCTTAATGGGAAGGTTATTCTTCAGAGTGACAATATGTTCTTACCGCAGCGCGTGGATGTCAAAAAGATATTGAACCCTTCAGGACAAGACAACGAGATCTCAATCGTCTTTGAGAGCACCGTGAAGAAGGGTGATGGGCTGGATAGTAGGTTTGGTCAGCGAAAGAGTAACATGATGCGTGGCAACAGAAGAATGCATATCCGCAAGGCGCAGGTAAGTATATATTTCTTTTCAGACTCATAGACCTGCTGAAATTGTGATTAGTATCACTGGGGCTGGGACTGGGGTCCTGTGGTTCTGACCGCAGGCCCTTACCTCCCCATATATCTCGACACTTACCATGCACGAGTGGATAACTGCCACATTATATCTGACCTCTCGCCTGACCACTCGTCCGCTGAAATATCGGTTGATATCAACGTCGCAGGCGAGGGTTCAGAGACAGTGGATGTGAGATTGTTGGATGCAGATGGCAGTGAAGTTGGAAGTACAACCGCCACTCTCAGCCCTTTGAAGGCCACAAAGACGAAATTGTTGCTCACATCACCCCGTCTCTGGTGGCCGAATGGCCAAGGCCATCCATATCTGTATACCGTCAAAATTTCTCTGCTAGGCCCTGATGGGGATGTTCTCGATTCGTCAAGTCAAAGATTCGGGGTCCGCAAAATCGAGATTGTTCAACGACCCTTAGACAATGCACCGGGCAAAACATTCTTCTTCAGGGTCAACGGACGAGACATCTTCAGCCAAGGAGGTAATTGGATACCTGCAGATAACCTCTTACCAACCATTACCCGAGAACGATATTTCGACTGGATCCGTCTGGCAAAATTCAATCATCTCAACATGATCCGAGTCTGGGGTGGAGGTATATACGAAACAGAAGACTTTCTCGATGCCTGTGATGAGTATGGTATGCTTGTCTGGCATGATTATGCCTTTGCTTGCGGGGACTATCCGATCCATCAAGAATATCTTGATAGCATCAAAGCCGAAGCCGAAGCTCAAACAATTCGCCTACGAAACAGGGCATGCATGGCCCTTCTCTGCGGAGGCAATGAAGACTTCATGCTGTGTGACTGGCTGGGACCTAAATTCGACTTCGCGGACTTGACTGGCCCGTTCGAGGACAAGCCTTTTCCACAACGCAAGATATATCTGCAGGTTTTGCCAGAAGTGGCGTCTAGGCTCGCTCCTAATATTGTGTACTGGGCTAACTCACCCTGGGGAGCTGGCGAGCAACCTTCAAGTGATCTGACCGTCGGCGACGTACATCAGTGGCATGTGTGGCATGTGAACCAAGAGCCATATCAGAAGTACAAGGGCCTCTCTGGTCGGTTTGTGTCAGAATTTGGTATGCATGGCTTCCCCATCATGCGCACGGTGGATGTATTCACAAGTCCCAATCGTCCGCAAGACCGTCATCCGCAGTCAAGGGCAATCGATTGCCACAACAAAGGTCATGGCGCAGAAACCCGCATCGCCCGATATCTGGCAGAGAACTTTCGTTATGACAACACGAGGTTGGAGAACTTTGCCTATTGTACCCAGCTGCTGCAGAGTGAAGCGTATGGCTATGCACTTCGGGATTGGAAGCGCAAGTTTGGAGGCAAGGGAAAAGAAGAGTGTGCCGGTGCCCTCATCTGGCAGCTGAACGATGTTTACCCAGTAACAAGCTGGGCTTATGTGGACTATTATTTGCGCCCCAAACCCGCATTTTACACGATTCGCCGGTCGTTTGCACCGATCAGTGTCGGGATTGAGAGAAGTCCCACATCGCGGTGCATCAATGAAAACAAGCCTCGCGACTCTGAGATACCTAGCTTTAGCATTTTTGCACATAACACCACCGCGAAGGATGTCAAAGCTATTCTTGTGCTGCGAGCATATGATTTCCATATTGGTGCCTGGACGGATCTCCAAGGAGTCGATGCTGAAAGGGAGGTGACCCTGACGGCTGGTTATAACACCGAGCTAGGCAAGCTAACGGCACCCTCTTCATGGACCGAGGAGAGCTTGATCATCCTGGCCGCGACGCTGCTGGACATGACGACCAAAGAACCTCTGGCGAGGATTGTCGACTGGCCTGAGCCATTCCGTTATCTCACTTGGCCGCTGGATACGAGAGTGAATATTTCGGTGGCAAAAATCGAAGGTCTCTCAAGCACAGGTGACCAAAGTGAAAGTATCTCATATCACGACGTTGTCCGAGTCACAACGAACCATCCGATCAAAGGATTGTGGTTGGAGCCCGTGTACGATGCGAAGGAGACCGAAGATGAACCCGAACCATTATGGAATGATAACATGTTCGATTTACTCCCGGGAGAGGAGATCTCGGTCTATGTAAAGGGGCTGAGAGGTCGGCAGATCAATGCTAGATTTTTGGGAGATTGGGAAGTGGGAACGTCAAAGCCTCGACTGTAGCTTGATCGTCAGTGAGCAATTGTGGTTGTAGATGACCGGGTGACACCTTGACGACTTAAGCTCCAAATGGAACTTGGTCTAATTCCTGGTCTGAATGCGTTCTCTCGTATATATGGGTCAGAATTCGCACTGTGGCTGGCTGTCAATGTGAGATGTGACTTTCGTGATATGATCATCGATATCCATGGAGGAATCGCTGCGCCTTTCACGTGGGTCAGAGTGGGTTGAGTATTGCCGAGACAGGTCAGCCTTGAGATATTCGTTATCTTCTGCCAACCATATCTTGATCCAGCCGACGTGTATGACTGGAACGAGACAGGTATCATTCGCCCAATACTCTTCCTTTTGCCTATTAGCCTGATGAAAGCCTCCAACTTGTTGAGGAGAGATCAATGCTTCTGTAACCAGCTGAAACTAATGCATTAACCCCCAGGGACGGCATCCACCCCCGTCCCAACTGTGTTAACAAAACAATTTGGTTCTGCACGAGCCTAAATCCTCAGATGGCTTTACTCACGAATACTAATCATCGACCGTGACCGTGAAACATTTGGGAGGCACACGCTAACTAGTTGTAACGTGCAGGAGGTCCGCTTGACGTGGCAGTGAATGTAACAATGCTCCAAGCATCAACGAGTTTTGCCAAACCTCCGTACATCAAAATGGCGTTGTGGAGTAGCTGTTTCGAGTTCACACCGTTCGTCTACACACGATCAGAGTCGTTGCGGGAACGATGACTGGTGAACTTTGTCTCTGGGGTATGGGTCTTATGGAACGGCCAATGATGCATCCGCATACGGGGCCGCCAGGTGAGAGATAGCCTGTACAAGTAGATTTCCAATAAAGGGTGGGTGCCAGCTACGTCTCATTGGATGTATCCTCCACTTTGCGACTTGGAAATGGCACACCATTTTCATCAGTGACCGAAACCTTTGCAAGGGAAAGAGTGGAGTCGTGAGCGTGTCTGCTCAAGGCATACTCAGACTGCTGGCATTGAAGAGCATGGCTGCAAAGTTCATAGCCCCAGGAGTGGAGCCTCGAGGTCCAGTTCCCAGGGCTGATAAGAATACTGTCTCCAAAAAGCAAATTTTTCAGTGGGTTGGTCGGAAGCTTGAGAGTAAGGTGAATCAAGCCGATAGCTGCAGAAAGGGCGTTGGGTAAGATCTCAAAGCGAGTCAGAATAGGAAAGAATGATGCTCCACCAAAAGTCATGCTGGTCAGTCATGTCGTTCAGATACACGTATCCCCGTCCTCCATGTGCACAGTCTGGTTCGAATCAATCTGACTAGTATCCGGACTACGTATCATATGTGTCCTTTTGTGGTTGTCAAAAAGCCAATCAAGGAGGGTAGCAAATAGCGACACCATCAGAATGAACCTTAGGGCGCTAGGGTTCAGTCTGTCCGAAGGACTTGTTTTGAATGTGCATGAGAGGAGTAGGCTTGATGCAACCTGCCAGGGGAATCGATTGCCTTGCATGGTACCAGAAGGCAACCATTACCAATCCGATAATCTCTCAGTCACTTGTTGACTTGTCAGCCTTGTCAAAGACAACATCAATTCCTGGAGATAGGCCAATCCCCAGATGAAATTTCTTAGTGTAAATACGAGTAGAGAGCGACGAAGAGCCCATGAGCAATTGTCTTCAACCAGACTTACAGATATGCTGTCATATGGCTCTATGTTCAGTCGATTGAAGAGAGGTGTTCATCACCTTGCCCATGCAGAACGTGGCATCAAGCTGCAAGGGGCGGAGTTTCAGAAGGAGGGAAACGTGGCAGGTGGCGTCCAGGAAACCAATCATTACTAAACGCTATATCGTGCACGGGCCTACCCACCCCTTGGCATTGTTCATCACATTCCACGAACCTTAGGGGCCTTTAACTTGACTCTACTCGTATGTACTTCATACCTACTTGGGAGGTAGGTGTTCATATCTTCGACCCCTGAGAAATGCTTCACTAACCGTTCCCTCCAGAGTGGGCTATGATTGTCTGTGGAGATATGCATTCCTTCCAAAAGGGCAAATGCCTTATGGAGCAAGTTAATCTTGCGGGCTACGCACACTTGGCACGAGAACGCCAAAGAGGCGCCATGTGCTAGCCATCCTTGACGCAAGCGAAATCATAATCTGTGGTCATCCCTGTCATGGAATGTTATGCCCGTGTTCCATTTCGGTTCTTACACCGAAGTTAAGCGTGGGAATACACTAGGAGCGCCTGGAAAGGGGGAACAGCTTCCCGGCCCGTCCTCTTGCACTTCTGTTGAGCGGAGATCCCTTCCAATATGGGATTCCTGGCCAGGGCGATGCAAGATAACGCGCGCTTGAGGCATTGATGCTAGGTCTAAGAGCACACCCATTGGACAAGCTACGTAGGTCTCCCCCTTCGGGCCTGCAGATTCTCCTACGCAACCCCCACAAAACCCGTGGGCCCAAACATTCGGGGCACGATCATGGAACTCGTCCAAGAATGGGACGGACCGAGTTTGATAAGTATGAGTAGCCGCCAGATGGATCACATACTCTCGCAACGGCCCTTCTTTCGCTCAGTACTTTCACCGGCGCTTCATCAATGGATCCAATCTGTGGAACTGTTGGTCTCGTCGCCGGTGTTGCCTCCATTATTTCAGTGATTGGCAAGTCCATCGTAACCTTGAACAACCTTCGTCAGAAATACAAAGAAGCTGAATGGAATATCAAACTCTTGACCGGTCACCTCCAATTGATACGCACGGCGCTATGTCGAGTGCAAAACTGGGCAGAATGTCTATCCAACGAGTCTTGTCACTATCAACTCATAATGGATCTTGACCAAAGCGTTGAGCATTGCAGGATTCTGATTGAGCATATTAATGATCAAATCTCTAGACTGGAGTGGGATGATGGTCTCCTCAAATTTGGCAGTAAAGCACTCTTCTTGTTTGAGGACAAAGCTACCAGCGAACTCCTCACTCTCCTCGACCGTCAAATGAGTGCACTTACCCTCTGCCTGGTGGCTTCACAGTTGTGAGTGAGATGTCCATCGTCTTCGCGAGATACTTGCTGACTCCAATAGCCCTACACCAAAAGCTCAACAGCAGTTCCTCGGAAGGGAGGAAACCCAGCTGGCCTTTGATCGAATCCGCGATGACACCTCATCACTAATCGGATTTCGAGACTCCAGCTCATTCCTCACCGCTAGAAATCGGAACTCGATAGCATCGCAATTCTCCCGTGTGTTTGATTTCGATGGTGTCCTCCTTAAGCATAAGACCTATCAGAATACATTTCGTTCTATGCTGCGAAGAACGGCCAGCCCAACGGAAAGGCAACCATGTCCAGAGCCTAAAACAAGGAGCCTCTCAGATACACCAGTGGTTCAACTTCAAAGTATGGCTCGGACAACAGCCAAGATCGATTCCGAGCTAAAAGAAGATGGTCGCCGTCTGAACAAAGAGATCAAGATTCTTGCCATAGGAGACAAGCACGGACGATCTGCTGTCATCAAGCAGATGAGAAGCCAGTACGGAGATCCATACACAGAAGCGGAAGTGGAGCAATACCGACAAAAAATCACATCGCTCACTATCAAAGCCCTAGTTGCAATCATGGACTATGTTGAAGACTCTGGAAATGGACTAGTCACGCCACTCAGCAGACAACATGGTCAGGTGGTTCGGGACTTTGCAGCTTCGGCAGCACCGAATTGGGTGGTCGAGTATGGCATAGCTTCCTCGATCAAGTACATATGGGCAAATTGGCACATACAACAAGCATATTCCATCATGGAAAAGCATGGAGAGACAGCATAGTAAGCAGCTTGAAGAGTTGAAGCCTCTCAATATGCGGTTGCTAACACCTTTATAGTTGTCTTGATTTTATAGAAAGAATCTGCCGACCAGGATATGTGCCAAGCAGATTGGACATAATACGTGCGCCCGAACCGATAGAAACACTGAAAGAGACCGAGTTAAGGATGGCGCCATCATCCCGACTCAAGGTGATCGAGTTCCAGGAGCAACAAGCAATGAAAGTCCTGCCACAATTCGCAGGTGTCCAATGCTGCTTGTTCACGATCGATCTGACCTGCTATGATCGGTACCTTAACAATGCTGCCAGCACCAATGCGCTTAGTGATCGGATCTCGAGACTCAAACATATACTGTTATCACCCCACTTTAGCGAGACATTGACGATGCTTGTATTTACCAATCGAACGGCTTTTGCACAGCATATCATCAAATCGCCTTTGAAAAGCCATTTTCCAGACTACGAGGGTGGTAACAATGTGGACGCAGCGGCCAAGTACATTTTGAAAAGATGCAGACGTGCAAACCACAAGGACCGAGCATTGGTATGGCATACATTACTTGAAGACACGAATGATGTTGAATCAACGGCGAATTTCTTCAGACAGTCCACACTCTGCAGGCAGGTGTTTATGACTTACTCATGAGAACACAGGATCTACAACATAAGAATAGGATGACAGTGTAGGATATCAAGGACCTTGTCATATAATGTATAAGTATAGTAATATAAACTCCAGGAATCCCAGGAGCAATGATGCACAGGCGATGAGTTGTCTGGCTGATGTACCTCGTACATTTGATCTGATAAGCGCAAATCTGATAACTACGAGGCTGTCAATGGCGCCTATTACACGATGGCACCCACCAGGCTTAGGGGTTGAACAACCCCTTGGTTCCCCTGAACGGCAACGATGTTCTAGTTAACTTTAGGCATGAAAAGCCCCCGCCACGGAGGGGAAACCCGCAGCTTCTTGACTCCCACTGATGGGAATGGCGTCATTAGAGGCAATATGATCTTTTCTTTGCTTGCGGGATCCTCCGCGTTCGGTGGCACAAAAATTGTCACTGATCGGCTTGTTCATCGGCGGTAAATGCGTATGTTTGGTCAGATCCCATCATTCCACTCCAGTTTGATACCCTTGCCATCGCTTGTTCATCGTCGGCTTTGCTTTGAAACAATAATTACTCAACAACTCTGCTCTCCGCCAATTCGACCGCCAGCCACCACTTGTCCTGCGCAATCAGCAATTGGCCCTCTCTTGGACTCTTACCCAACTTCTTCACCTACTGCAGACTGACTCCATTCTTCTCTGAGACACCAGATCAACCATCATGGCTACCCTCAACGAGATACAGACAGAGGAGAGCTTTGATCAAACCATCAAGAATGGCACGTCATCAACTCTGTTCGTCCTCTACTTCCACACACCATGGGCGGCTCCATGCACCCAGATGAACACCATCCTCACAGCCCTCGCCTCCACCTACCCCGCCAATGCGCCCATCCAATTCCTCTCCATCAACGCTGAGGAGCTACCAGATATCTCAGAGGCTTATGACGTGACAGCGGTTCCATTCTTGGTCCTGCAAAGAGACGGCAAGACCCTGGAGACCGTGAGCGGTAGTGACGCCACAAAGGTGCGGAATACAGTCGAGAAATATGCTGGTGGACAGAACAAGAGTGCAAACGGCATTCCTCCTGCGCTACAGGCAACACCTCAGCAGCAGACCAATGGAAGTACAGACAACGGCGCCCCTACGACCACCAAGGACTTGAGTGGCTATGCGCCCAAGCCTTCAGATCCTCAAACAGCGCCCGCTTTTTCCTCCACTCAAGAGTCGCAGGAGGAGTTGAACGAACGACTCGGGAAGTTGGTTAAAGCTGCGTAAGTCGCGAACTATGTCCTGTTTGTTTCTGGACGTAGTACAAAATGCTGACAAATTTCGGACTTTCAGACCGGTCATGCTGTTTATGAAAGGAACCCCCAGTGCGCCTCAGTGCGGCTTCAGCAGACAGCTAGTCAGCATCCTGCGCGAGAACCAAGTTAAATACGGGTATGGCCCCTAATTTGGTATCCCATTTTTGCGCTCTCCAACAGAAACTGACATGCTCGAACCCAGATTTTTCAACATCCTCGCCGACAACGATGTTCGGGAAGGTCTCAAAGCCTTCTCCGACTGGCCCACATTCCCTCAATTATACACAAATGGCGAACTCATCGGAGGGCTAGATATCGTAAGCCCATCTCTTTCCATATGATCCCCCAGAACCATTCCACTAAAGCCATGTTTCTATCTAGGTACGAGAAGAAATGTCTGCTGATCCCGATTTCTTCAAACCATTTTCCGCAGGAGCCAAGCCAGAGGCCGAAGCTCCTACAGCGACTGCCTGAGCATTTGTGATATAAAGGAGTCTTCGATTGGTGGCATTCTGCATCTTGTTATTCCTCGATGAACTGGTGAGAGCAAGATGGCAGAAGAGCACCAGTCAGGATGGTCGTTCCCATGTATGATATACGCCGTGCCGCTTCCATGAAGGAACTAAACCAAATACTCGTTGTTAATTAGCAATATTGCACAGAAGTCTGAAACCTTGGTTGATATCCTCTTTGTGTTTATCTACTCCCATGTGAATCGCGAATGGCTCCAAAGGGAAGCCAAAGCGGAACGAGATGGGGCCGATTTAAAACGGAAGAGTCACGGTAGATGGCGATGGCGATGCATTAGACAAGTGTAAGATTCACGTCTAAAGCGGTCCACCCTAGTTTTGGCTTCAGAATATATTCGGACATCTTCATCTGATCTAGCTAATTCTCCACTGAACTCATATGCCATCTCATTTGAAGCAGGTTGCAGTAACAGTATCAATCTTCTGCTCCACCTTGATGAGCTTGTCATCACCGTCCTGGAACAGGGCTTTCTGCCGTGTGACCTTGACACGATTGTTCACCCGCTCCTTGCTCGTTGGAGCGTCTCCGCCCTCAAACCACTTCTTCACACCTGCCTTGCGCAGGACTGAACTTTCTTTCAAGAGGGTATTGACCACCACGTCATCATTAGGTACAACGAAGTAGAAGACATGTGCTGCGGTCGTGCCCCCACGGGTCAGAACGTGGCTGGACGACTCTGTGCACAGCCGTCTTGAAGTAATCGCCCGTACACCACATCATCGGCTCTCCAGCTTTCACGATGATGGCTCCAGGGATATGGGGTATTTACTTCCATTGCGCTTCATCCTCGTAGTTGCGGACCTGCAGCCTGGACACGGGCTGGCTCAAAACAAGCGATATCCCAGTCAGATCCGGGTGGCCACCGAGCCACAAGTTCTCATTGTCCTTGCCAGAAGAGGATTTATTGTCCTAGTACTCCATCCATCGGACCCAGGACTCATCGTGCTTGTCGTAGTCGTGTGGTTTGACGAAGAAATCTTCGTCGGAAATTAGGAGCGCCAAAGCAAACAACCGCAGGATCCTATACAGGATGTCCTTATGGACTGTTTCAACGAAGTGCTGGATCGCTGCCCGATAGGGCTCCAGTGCCTTGGGCTGCGTGTGTGGCGCCATGTCCCTATTGACTTTGGAAGCCTCAATCCAAGGCAAATTTTGGTACGGCCTCAGATATCAAAGCACTGACTCGAGGTATCAGAAAATGGCCCCCCCAGGATTTTGAGCCGATCGAATCATCGACGAACCAATCATGCAAAATTTGCATCCGTTCCAACGCCCAAGTCTCGATAATTTTGGAAGTCGGCATTCATGATGGCCACTTCATCGCCACTGGGCCACGAAACAAGGTTGCCCCAAGGCTCGTTATCCAAATTCAGGATATCCATCAAAGACGCCTATGTTAAGGTCTAGTTAGCCAAAAACAAGCAGAATTACAGTAAAGCGGAGAGCATACATCATACAAAGCTGGCATCGTAACATTCGGCGAAACGGGATTGGAGGTTGTCGTTGTTGGTCTTACGACTTCTTCACTGCGTTTATTTGCTTTAGGATTGACACTGGAGCTGGCTTTTGTGACCACCAGACGCGCAAGATTCGTTACTCTTCGTGGAAATGAAAACTTGATGCCCGGCGACATGTATTCCAGATAGTTAAAGTGTCCACAGACTTGGTACATACAGTCCAGATCAGGCTTTACTGTAACCAGTGTAGGATATTGGATAATGTAAAAGAACAAGTTCATGAAAGCCGTCAGCGGAGTGATGAATACCAACCTATAGTTTGCACTATCAGAAAATGGACCTGAGGAGAGCAGTATGAAGAAGCCTTACCACCTCGGTGAACAAACGTCAATAGTAACATGCTGCAAGATGCGAATAATCTGCCTAGACGCATCCACAATGATTGTCATGCTTTGAGCAGTATGATCTCCAAACTTTGGCACTTCGCCCGGCTGCATCTGGATAGCTGGAGCGTTCCAGGGGTGTGCAAGCAGCGAATGGATGGTTATTAATCCTCCTAGGAAAGCGTACTGCATGTAGAAGACATATGTTGGGTCCAGTCCCTGAGGTATATCCGAATAATCAGTCTCTATTCTTAAGACTGATGGAAGGGAATCGTGCCATTCTCTCAAACCACGCTCGAGGTGAGCAATCGTTCGGACAACTTCATCTAATGTTGGAGTTGACGCTTTGAGAGCGGTGATTTGTTTAGTAATGTGCCCCGAGACTTGGGCATGCTTGATCCAAGGGACGAAAAGGTCGAGGTCCACCATGCTTCCATCTACTGTTTTTGAGGGTAAGTGGCAGGTTATGACATTGTCATCAATAGACTGGGTCTTGTGTTAGCAGAATCCGGTGCCAGCGAGGATCTGAGGGATATACCAATGGTCTTCCCCATCTAGACGCGTTCAGCCGTTCGTAGCCATATATTGACCACCAAACGTAACACCGAGTCTGTAGAGCTGATTCTGTTACATGCCACGCAGCCGCAGGTTGACGGTGAAATCCCCTCGATTCTGCGAACTTCATCGCACTTAAGGAAAGCATGTAGTCAAGTGCTGGAGATGCGATGCTTTCGACAAACAGTGCCTAGGAGAGCGTCAGCGACTCCCAAAAGTCACAGAAGGCCAAGGAAGGATAACTAGAACAAATACCATTATCGCGAGTGCCTGAACTGCCATTGAATTGGACCTAGAATAGAGAAGCTCGGTATGAACCGAGAGCGCGTTCTTCAGGTATTCCCATCCATGTCCCTCTCCAACAAAGAAGGGACCGGGCTGCTCCCTTGATAGCAGTTTCCGGCAGCCAGTAGCGTAGACGGCATTTCTCAGAGCGTACCAAGAACAGTCTTGTTCCAGAAGGCCCATTGAACCGTTCTTGAAGTGTTTTCTCAGACGCGACTCAAATACTGGCCGACAGACGATGCCAAGGACAACGTCTCTGCACTCTTCAAAGTACACATTCACGTACTGCCAGGCCCTGTCTTGCTCCGGCTCCGGCTCTTGTCGATGGAAAAGTCCTGGTTCTACTTTCAGATGGCGGGAAATGTCGAATGCGATTTCTCGAGCCATCGCCGCGAAGTCAGTAACTCCAGTCTTGTCACATGTCCACTCGACGCAAGCATGAGAACAGAAAGATATGAAGGAGCCTGGGCCTAGCACACATCAGTTCTCTTGACCTGAAGTGGAGGAGCCTGGCGAGTACCATAAAACTCGTAGCTTGCCTGTGATTCGTGACATTAGGAATTTTCCGCCACCTTGAAGACAAAGACGTTACCTCTTCTTCTGATGACGACACACTACCATCATCCATATCGCCCTGGCTGACAGTGATTGTCAGTGGAGGGACCAAGGGCCGTTCTGGAGCAGTGGACACTGCCGCAGCGTTTGCTGTGGGTGGAAGCGGATGAGCTTGCAACGGCACAAGTGGTGGTCGCGCCGAAGCAGGTGCATTTGTCGTAGGGTCAGAATGGCCAGGTAGCCTCTGTTGTATGCCGGTCTGTGGTTGGGAAAACGCAAATGAGATGGCAGCCTCCGCTCCCGCCTCTCGAGTTGCATATTCTGCATTCGTTATTGAGCTCGCCGTCCTTTCTTGAACACTGGTCAAGAGGGTCTCGACATGCTCAAGCCGGCGCCGCAAGGACAGTGAATCTTTTTTACCGGCTCGATTTGCTCGGTGCGGGACAGCTGGATAGGTGCACACTTTTCTGTGATCCTGGCCCAATTGTTAATTGCGAAGCTATTGTGTGATTTCGCCCAGCAGAAAGGCATGACAGGTAAACGCCTTACGATGCAGTTGGGGCATGGGCTACCACCATTACCTAGTGGAAGCACCTGTCAGTGACCGATTCATCTGGATGAGCGGGTGCTGCTGACATTTTACTTTCTTCGAGCGACAATAGTTGCAGGCTATTGCACTTTTCGCTATTCGATCTCGCCGGACTTCCATAGTAACTATAGAGAATGATGGTGTCTTTGAACACAGACAGGGAGGGGGAGTCCTCGAAGCCCGTTCGGCTTCCTGAATTCGAGTTGGCGAATGTTTCAGGGCTCCCAGAGCCTGTCAGCCTCACAGCACAAGACCTCCACAAGCAACATTGCGGGGTTCTTACGCAACCGAGGCTGGGGTGACCTCCCCACAGGACAAGCGAAACATGCGTGACCGACAGGAATGCTACCGACTCCAGCCTAGAATACGTCACGTCCTTATACTGATCGGATCCACTCGGCACATTATCTCCTTCATAGCACGAGCAAGTCTGCTATGGAACGGTCTCTTGAGTGACTATATTCTTGACTAGACTTTAATCACTACACCGCCGCGTTTAATGCCCCGGGCAGGGGATACGGAGGGCCCTGAAATAAGTACTGCACCCCCAGTGCCTCAGAATTTCACCCTTCCCTGCCCTAGTCATTCCCGGCCATGGCCTTTTCTTCTCGCTGTTTTGGAAGGAAAGACTCAGAGACAAACTTGGGCTCCAACTTTAGTGTAGCATTACTCCAAGCTAAAGTAGATCATGGGCATGGTCCACCTAGAAACTCCCGCCTTTCGATAAATTGATGGGTCTATTTCTCAAAATCGGGCAATACGAACTGAAGTATTTCAGCACCCTCCACACCAACTGACACGACTGTTTCCTCGCCAGGATCCAGCCGAATGGCTGACTGCTCTCGGCATTTGTGCCCGTCAACCTCTGCAGCGCCTTTGGAAAAGAAAAGGAGTTGCGTGCCCTTTTTACCCGTCACCTGGACAAGGCCACAGTCGATTCGGATCTGGTTGGCAGCAACGCTGCCATCAGAGAAAACCCCCAGAGGCCTAATTTTGGCATGACCGTCGCCCAGGGGATGGATTGTTTGCCATTCAAACGCCTCTGGCGTAATTAAAACAGGATGTCGATAACGGCTGACAGGATATTGAAGCTTTTGCGAATTGTGGAACTGCCACAAGGCCTCATACCCATCGATCGGCTGCGTTTCTTCTCCTGCGGGCGTGAACTTCCCGCCTCCAAACACTCCTGCGCCTTTCTCCGTCATTTCAGCCTGGATATCACGCAGCTGGCGAAAGCTCAAGTAGCCATGGTGGCTCGGACCGCCAAACTGAAGCACCAGTACCTCTCTCACGCCCTCTCCGTCATTTTGCGGCCCATACCACGCCCCTTCTGGGAAATATGCCAACTCCCCCTCTCGAAGTAACCACGCCTTGCCTTCGCCAAGCGAGATGTCACCTTTGTATGCATACCGGAATTGTTCAAAGTTGTGGTGATGGCGGGGCGAGTAAAAGCTCTCTTGCCGTGCGAGCATGAGGTTGAAGTTTGCTGGTGTGTTTTCCTCACCCAAGATCAACAGTTTGAATGTAGGGGCGCCTGGTCGGTGTTGTAGTCCCGCGCTTGTGTAGTCCATCTGGCCTCCATGAGTGATCTTCATTGCTGCCACTGGGCCGGCGATGACGGTGGGGGCAGTTGTCGTCGTCGTCGTCGATCGTTGTGCCTTGCTGCTCAAACGCAAGCTAAATTTGCCCACTGATAATGATTTATGGTTCGTTGCTACCGAGAATGTGATGTCGACCGCGATATAGCATGACAATCCCGGACGTATCCCTACATCAAAACCGAGCGAGTCTGAAAATCGAGGCTCGTCTAGGCGCACGGAAACGCTTCCGCAGTACTCGCCCGTCGCCAGGCTTTGGAAAAGTGGAATCTAGGCTACAAACTAGTCCAAGATCATCCGGAGGCTGCGATGGAAGCAGATTATGGCCGGACCGATGAGGTTAGACTCTATCTCCGTGAAAACCTGCATCCACCCGGATTTGTACGAGAGCTCGGTTTCTCCTCGCGGCAGAGAATGCTTGAACGGAGCGCTCTGTAGGAGAGGCAGCAGAGCTGTGGTCGGTCTCCGTATCGTGTGACTGTGAAGTTATCCTTCGTGAATGCTGAAGTTACGTTGTTGTGAGAATTATTCTGGGTGTCATTGAATTGGATACCGTGTTTAGCATCATTCTAGCTGCTATGTCATTAATCGCTTACGTTGAGCAATACATCAAGCTCGCCAAAAGTGATGCTACCAAGACTCTAGGCCTCAGAGTTGGAGGCAAAGATATCGTCGCGGGCGACTACTTACCACTCTCAGGTATGTGTCAATGAGCAGAACTCTCCTCAATCGAGCTTGACGGTTGGTCTCGATAGAAGCCGTATCTGTCCCCGAAATTTCTCTCACGACCGACGACCCGGCAGGGAGATATGTGACTGTCTGCGTCGATCTTGACGGTCCATATCCAAGTTTCCCATTTCTCTCCCCGATTCTGCATTGGGTCCAGTCCGATTTGCAGGCTTCGCGCTCTACGAAAGCGCTGACCACAGAAAAGCCGTTCATCGCCAACTATATTGGCCCTGGACCTCCGCCGGGAAGTAGTCCTCATCGCTATGTCTTCTTGCTCTACAACCAACCAGAGGAATTTGACCTGAAGCTTTATGCTCCACCCGGAGGGAAGGAGTATGGGAATATGGCCCGCATGCGGTATGATCTGGCCGCATTTGAGGAAAAGGCAAAGCTGGGGAAGCCTATCGCTGTGAATTATTTTACTAGCAATTAGCATATACATGAAAATAGAGCCGACCCATCTATTGAAAGAGCCGAATCTGGCACTTGCTGGCGGGACTACAGGAGTAATTAGGAAATAGAGTCGCGTTGGTAGATTATAGTAGAAGGAATTCACAATGCACATTTATATCGCCGGCTACATATTTTTGACTGCTCATCAAAAAGGCCCTTGTAATGTGATTTTCGATGTAAATTAAAGATCGTCACCAGAAACTGTGCAGATGGAGGCCACCATCCACAGGAATGATCATTCCCGTCAGCCAGCTTGACATTGGCGAGGAAATCCAGGTCGCTGTGCTGGCAACGTCGTCTGGTCTCCCCTTCCTCAACGAGAAAACACCTTCACCGTATTTGTGTTCCGCTCTGGGTGTCAGCACTTCGCTGGCCGCAATGCAATTGATCCGAATGTTATCTTGCATATAATCGAAAGCATCCGTTTTACTCAGACCTATCACTGCATTGGCCACGGCGGCCGTGATTGGGTTATGCGCCAGCAATATCGTTGGGCCAAACTCCACGATGTTGACGATGCTACCGCGGCATTCCGTCTCTGCGCGGACTTCTTGTTTCAGCATCTGGCGAAGGAGTGCACGTTGAATGAGAAATGCCTGTTGGGAACAAACCATCAGAATGACTGGAAGACAAAATCGAGAACAGTTGGTGCGAACCCCTTTCTGATAGACAGAGTAAGATCTGTCGTATTTCTCAATAGAGCGTCCTGCCACGTCAATCGTCTCCTGTGCTTGGAAGACCACATTTACAGAGAAGTCGATCCGCCCAAAGGTTTTTGTAACAGTTGCGAAGAAATTGTCCACGTCCTCTTCTCTTGATCTGTCGAATGCTCTCGAGTGGAAGTTTACAGAAGGATACTGAGAAACGACCAGTTTGCGACATTCTTCAAGTCGCGGACCACTCGCATCACCTACGAAGATACGTTCACACCCACAGTGAGCGAACATCATGGCGATCGCAACGCCCGTGTCTAGACCATGAGGTCAGTCAAGGATGTTTCTGGCAGGCAGCATACTCTTACCAGACGACGCGCCAGTAATAACCACAGTTCCATTATGCAATTTATACATTTCGGAGTTCTAGTTTCAGTATAGTAGAAAGACGTGGTCTGAGGCCAGAAATCTTGAGCACAAGAAGCGTGTGAATAATACTAAAATCTACGTTTTTGAGTTCAGAAATCTCCCTCCCTTGATTGCCCAAGGAAGCGGGTCTGATGCCGAAGCTAGAATAGTCAATGCATGAAGACTGGCGCACCTCGGACGTGCTGACCCACGATGTAAGCATCAGATCAATTAACGAACTCTAATTTCATGGCATGTCTAATTGTATAAACTGTATAGCACTGAGAGGAGAGCTTGCTCTATCACTCAAGCTCAATTTCAGCTATTCGGTAGAAAGCAATGTGTTTCAAGGGTAATGCTAAATACTCCGTAATAGTTGCGTACCACAATCCACGGGGAGATTGATGCCAGAAATTGCGGATGTGAGGGGACTCGCTAAGAAGAGAATTGCATCAGCTACCTCTATAGTGTCTACGTAACGCTTCATGGGTGCTTGGGCGGCCCCCATGTCGATGAACTGCTGCGGCAGCCCCGCCTCTGATACCATGGGTGTCCAAACTGCTCCAGGCGATACGCAATTAATCCGGATGGAATCCTGTGCATGCTTCAATGCGTCACAACGAGTGAAAGCAACCACCGCGTGCTTAGAAGCCCCGTAGGCTGCTGTTGTAGGGATGATGCAGTGGCCTGCGATCGATGATACGTTGACAATTACTCCACGTTGATTGCCAAAAAGAGGTTCCTGGCGCAGCATTTGCTTGATTTCATATGTTTCGCATAAAAACGTCTGATCTATTCGTCAGCTTTGTCTCACACTTGGTGACTGGATATATATAGATGCGCAGGAGAGGCTGAACAAATAAACTTACACCACGTTCATTGACGGCGCACACCCGATCGTAGTCTTTTGTGGATATATCGCCTGTCCTTGCACTTGCGGATCCTATTCCGGCATTGTTGCACGCGATGTCAAGGCGCCCATACACTCTGACGCAGTGTACGATCATGTTTCTCACAGATTCTTCGCTGCTCACATCTCCTTCGTGCAGTTCCATCTGCGTATGAGGGCTGTCCTCCCAAATGAGTGCCGCAGTCTGTTCCAGTTTTGGCCAACTCAGATCCACCAGAAAGAGTTTCTCACAGCCATGCTGGGCAAATTGCAGAGCACATGACTGCCCAATTCCTGACAAACATTAGTATCTGTGAGGGGCCAGACACCTTTTGGGCATTCAGTGTCCTTACCGGAACCCGCTCCGGTGATGAGGACCACAGCTCCTTGAAACAAAGACTCATCCCAGGCATGACGAGTTCTGCCTTCGTTGACGGGTTTAGTTCTTGGTTCTGGAGCACCTTTTCGTGATGTGGCAGTTGTGAAAGCCTTGAAGGCTTCACTCAAATTTTTAATCATGGTAGATTTCCTTGCATCGCAGGCACAATGGACATCAAGATGCGTTACAAATAGCGTTCGAGTCCAGGCAAACCAATTTATGTTGGACGACGATGATAATTCTCTGCCGACAGACTACATACCTAAGAGGTGACCCAGCAGGCGCAGGAATTAGGTGTGTCCGTTGTTGTTCCGTGGATGGCATCTATTCGCATTGCTGTCACAGATGCAGAATCTTGCGGACCACAGGTACCATAATTCCGGGAGAAGATCACTCTAACTTAATGCGGTCGGAAGTGGAAGCAATCCGAGAAACACGACGACTTGTTCATGAACCAATAGGGGCACCCAAGGAGTTTGCAGGTGATACATTGCGTCATTCGGGGCAGACTTGGAGAGTGCCATGATATCAAGACCTACCTTTACATAGGCTAGAGGGCTGCAAGTGAAACGTGGCTCTCCCAGCACTGAGAAATTTCCAGACCGTCGAAGGACAGCCGAGCCTGTCAACATTCAAGCGCGTAGTCAGCTATGGTTCAAGAAATTGTGGCGATAGGAGAAACCTACCTTCAGCCCCCACCCGCCTAGCATTCTTCCATCCGGCATAGCAACTTCCTCAGTCCATGAAGCATGGTTCTCGACACGACTGGATCATGGACATCGGCTGCAAACTGTAAGCTCGAATACTATGTACTACAAGTCCATTTGTTTCGCTAATTTCCATCTATTCGTTATTCAAATCATCGGCTATCAGCGCTTCAATTCGACTATGTAGAGCTAGTTAGCCAGCTCCACGACGCTACATACAACAAGATTTCGTCCCTCAGTCCAACAGCGATCAGAGTCCAAGTTTGACAGCCAAGGCTGTCTAATAGCCGTCCATCAACCGCTTGGACAAGGGTAAATTCCTTACGTATCGCCTTCAGACTCGGAACTGGTCGAGATCTCGATCGGCCGCTGAGTAGGCGAAGCATCGGACCAAATGCCCTAACACAGCCGGTCTATCAAGGAGCTAAAGCTCGCCCTCTTTTTCGACGAGCTATTCTACTAAATTCTCTTATGTCTTCTTCTGTTTCTCCAGGACAGGTGAATTTCCTTTCTTACTTCAGCTCCCAACCTTTGCAAACATGAGTGTCGGTAGTCCTCTCGCTGACGCCATCTCCTCACTGCCTTTATGGCTCCCTATCCTCCTTTTGACTTGTGTCGCTGTATCCACCAGACTTGTCCTTAACTATTTCAGCCCAGGCGTGCAGTCCATTCCTGGTCCTTTTTTGGCTCGTTTTTCAGATCTATGGCGCCTCACCCTGGCCTATGGAGGCCATTCGCATCTCAAGATGATGCAACTGCACGAGCAGTACGGAGATGTGGTGCGAATCGGACCAAATACGATCAGTGTTTCCGATCCTCGAGCTATCGAGCCCATTTTGGGATTCAAAACAAATCTCAACAAGAGCAAAGCGGTCGTTTCGATGATGAACGTCTACAAGGGGAAATTGATTCCAATGCTCATATCAGCCATTGACAGCAAAACTCACGCTACCATCAAGAGACCGATAGCTCAAGCATTCTCTCAGACCTCGATGAGCTCGTGGGAGACTGTTGCGGACGAAGTTATCGCTCGGTTTGTACATCGTGTCGATGAAGAATTTTGCCACCAGGAGAAATCACTCGGGAAGCCTTGCCCGATCAACGACTGGTTCCAATTCTTCGCCATGGATTTCATCTCAACAATAACGTTCAGCCAGCCATTCGGGTTCCTTACCAAAGGGTACGATTTTAATGGGATGATATCGTCGCTGGAAAAGATGATGACATACATCGCTACTGTGGGAAACATGCCCTGGGTAGATTTTCTTCTCCTAAAGAATCCCATATTCTTGATGCTTGGAAGCACCTCGTCCCCGCTCGTTACCTTTGATGGCGAAAGGATCAAGAATCGGGCTCGCGGCTTGGAGAAAAGTCACCCTGAACGTAAAGACTTCCTATCGCGTTTCTTCGAGGCCAAAGAAGCGTATCCTAATGTTGTGGATGACATGCTATTGGCTGCTTATGCCAATACAAATATTCTCGCGGCCTCAGACACTACGGCCGCTTCCCTAAGCTCTATTGTTTACTACGTGGTGGGAAATCCGGAAGTTTTGAAACGACTACAGCAGGAGATCGATCAAGCCAAACTGAGTTACCCTGTCCAATTCAAGACGGCACAAACACTTCCTTACCTCGATGCGGTCATAAAAGAAGCACATCGCATGTTCGTTCCCGGGGGGCTTGAACAAGAACGCGAAGTCGGCTCTGCAGGCTTGCAGCTTCCAACCGGAGAGAACTTGCCTCCAGGCACTGTAGTAGGATACAGTGCCTGGGCAGGTCACAGAAACAAGCTGCTCTTCGGCAAAGACGCTAATGTCTTCGATCCCGACCGTTGGCTCCAGAAAGACAATGAAACGAACGAAGAACATAACGTTCGCGTGCGAAAGATGCATCGAGGAATAAGTACATTTGGTTTCGGACCGCGTGCATGCCTCGGCAAGAACATTGCAATGATAGAGATCTACAAGTTAACCCCAACATTCTTTGGATTATTCGCCGTAAGTCGGATCCCACCTGACGTATTTGATATTACGACTGACAAACCCTGTACGCAGCCTGAAATGGCCCATCCTGGAAAAGAACCACGAGTTCACTGCCACCTGACTGTCCGTTTCCATGACTTTGATATTACATTAAAATGGAGAAAGCCTGAGCTGAGGGAAAAGCTTCAACCTCTATTGTGACATGGATCGCGTTATGTGCTGAAAGGACAATGCTTTTGAAAAGTTGACAGACTGGAGATCCAAGTGGAACTTTGTGCTGCTGCTATTCTCAGGTGGAGATTCATGCTATAGACTATCCCGTATCTCTGACTGGTGCAACCAAATCACAAAACCAACTATCTGTCGAAGCCTATAGTTCCATGATTATTCGCGTCTGCCGTTGTCAATTCGATCACAAGATCCAATGACGCTTTAAGCATGCCCGCTTGACGGGATTGCCTGTTATTACGCAAAGAACCTCACACAGAGACGAACTCTCATTGACCTCTTCATCAGTTTGGGACGGGCTTCCAGACTTCCACATGCCTTACTCCAAGAAATCCTTCATGCCTTTCCATGATTATTGGAATGGCTGTTGAGGTCGGTAGTCTTATACGGGTAAGGATGCTGAATCGGTATATCGTACCTCGATACCCAAATCCAGCCAATGTTATCCCGGAAGGGTTAGTTCTTAGATCTTCCGGAGTATATCTGAATTCCAGTCCGATCTATTTCGGTAAGGTGGGGTAAAACCAAGACCGGAAGTGGCCCTGTGACCAACATAATCAATGATTGTCACCACTCTCATGCCAGTGAGAGTGCAAAATGCTGCTTCAACAAGATTGAGGTAAGCGATGGCACTGTGATGGAAGAATCTGCGCCTAATATCCCATGGCTAAACGCAGAAGAGGCAATCTCTCGGTTTCTAAGGAAAGCTTCGACACTACTGCCACAAGGGAAAGTGCAAGAACTCCTCGATCGTTGTCAGAATCTCGAAGATATCGATATCAATGGCAACCTCCTTGCCCTCTCTTGAGTTGTCAGTCTCAAAGCCAACCTGGAAGTTGAGAACGAGACTGGTCTTTTTGCTGCACCTAGATGAGTCATCTCGTAAAGACCGTTCTGATATCTCCTGACTTCTTGTGCTGCCGAGTGAGGAGTTATAAAAAGAAGAAATCCCCGAAAATACACGTCGCAAGTTGGACTCGAACCCCCAAACGAGACCCAAAAAAGTGGCCCCCGGATCAAACCTCGATTTTAACACCTCACTATCATGAGACATCTGCCATGAGGCATCAGATCAATCATTCATGAGGCGGGATAAGGCCCGATCTACTGTTTTCAAGACTTTCCTGGACACCTTATCCTGAGGCCCGCCAACCCACCACTTAACGCCATTAGACCATAATGCAGTAGATTCTTAAAGGGACATCTTCCGATGCTAATGTGACAGGAACTTCCGGGATTTGGATAGATATCCGTTTGGGACGTGAAGTGAATTTAAGGGTGGTTTAACTGAAGTGACGGAATAAAGGGGGGATGTGACGAGCAGCGTGCTGGCTAACTTGTATATTCTGGGAAGTGTTCCTGATTATTGTCTACAACTAGGCAAAAACCAGACGTCCTGCTTGTTGGTCATCAGTGGTTCTCTCAAGGCTAGAAATGACAAGAAGACTGCGTAAAGCGCTGGTGTTCAAGGTCAATACATGGTATCTACTTGCGTTCGAGTAAAGCCGATCTCTTGTAGCTAAAATCGCGCTCTATACAACCAATGAAGATTTGTTAGCTTGTGTCCTGCCCGCGAACATCAGCATGCAGGGAATGCTGAGCCTGCTGAGGAACCAGCATGGTACTGGCGATTACGATTGTCAAAGGGCAAGGCTGAGGGAGGTACTGCTGTTTTCTGACACAAGTGGCCGGCTCCGCTTTTAGTATTTCACTCTCACAGGATTCATATCATTCATTAGGGTATCGTTTCACTTCCGCTGCGCCAGCGCTCTAGTCATACATAACAAATCGTCGATTTCATGACGTGGCTTTCCACTGAACTCAGGCCATTGCAGCATGTGCAAACAATTGTGACTCTCGCACAGGACCACCTAGGCAAGACGCGCTTAGCGACATCACATGAACAAATCATCCCGCTTCTGAACTTCAGCATTCGTCAATCTTCCACAGAGACTGAGCAATGAGACTGTCTCCGTGGTGGCAAACCAGTTGAGCGCATCAATCAGAATTTTCAGATGTCGATTGAAATGCTCTTCGTACTTTCTTATTGATTCCTCCAGGCGCTTCATTCTCGCCGGATCGGTGGGTGCAGCTGCTGCAGATTTTCCCTTGCTAGATGATTGCTGCATACTTGAATCGGCTTCATAGAGAGTCTTGGTGATGTGTTCAACATAGGCGGCAAACATACCACAACCGGTCATTAGCTTTGCATGGAGACGGAGAAGTTTGGCTTGTGTCAGTCCCATATCCTTCATACATGTGTCGAGCATGTCAACGTGATCCTGCATCAGTTCGTCGACCGTAGGCTTGGTCTTGGGATTGAGTCCTGGTTTCGCGGCCGCTTGGTCATCCCACTCAGCATCATCAACCTTGACCATGAGTTTCTGCCAATTTGGTTCAAGTACTTCAGCAGTAGCAAAGAAGAGCATCTGCTGTACAAACACCAGCATCCGGGAACGCAATGTCCAGACTCGACGCTTCCAAAGCTCGAACCTCCGATCCTGGGATTTATGAATCCATGCTTTGTCCTTGCTGTGAGTCGACCAGCAGCCCACTAGCAGCGTCTCGAGGTGACGAAGTGCCAACGTATATCTGAATATGATCTGGTATCGCACCACAGTCTTCCTGCTAATGATGAGTGACAAAGGGAAAGGAACAGTATAATCAAGTTCCAATGCCTCGTGGCCAGCAATTTCTTTTTCCTCATCTTCCTTCTTCTCCTTCTTCAACTTTTCCTGGGCAGATGAAGGTGCAGGGGTTTTATACTGGTCAATGGCCGATTCTGGATTATTCTCATCGATGCCTTGAACATTCACAACCTTGACTAGCCACTGTGTTAGGCCCACAGAGTTCATCTTCACCTTGACATCCTCTTTGAATGGATCGCTCACGGCGATGCTGCCGGGTTGATGCAAGACCAAATCGAAGAGGGATTGCAATTTTCCAACATTGACGTCCCGATATTTCTTACGAAGTTCGGAATCGCTCAATTCCAGGAAGTACAGAAAGAATTCTGCCTTGTCTAAAAAGAAATAATGTTTCATCGAACGAAGTCTGCTCCTGAGGGAATTCCTTGTTAACAACAAATGAAGCAAGTCTTTATTGGCGAAAGAATAGGCGTTGTTGACGTTGTCAAGGAATCGTGGATCATCGAATGTTGCTGGGGTGTCGATGATCTTGCTACCAACGTCCACACCCCCACATTCGCGGACCACGTTGAGATATTTTCCAGCCAGAAGTACTTTCTCCCGTACTGCTTCAAGTTGAGGCGGAACTTCTTTTTCTCGTATGTAGTATCGCTTATCCCAGTATTCATCAGTATAGTCTTCATCCAGGCGTTCACGCTTAATGCTGGATCTCTCTCCAATCAAGAATTCCGAATGCGGGTCTTTGATACCACCATGATGCAGCCATTCATTCAACATGACCATATACGGTCTACTTGATTCTCTCAGAAGCATCTCGAGAATTTCTCTTGCGGCAGGATCACCAGAAAATGCCGAAAGTCGAGCTGTCAACAGGCCCAAGACATTGCCTCCAATACACCGCTGTTTACTCAGACTGCCTGGAAGAAGATCGCCTCCTTCCTTCAGGCGCTCGATGATATTGTCTGCATCAAAATCATCGATGGAGTCATCGAGTTCCTCCTCTAGTAATGAGTTCTTTTTCAACAGGTCCTGTGCCAGTGAATATAAGTGTGCCAAACTGTGGGTGGTCGGAATGATAGCTATGTGCATTTGATGAAGGGTAAAATCGGCACCGCTCAACACTTTCATCTCGAGCTGTGCGACTAGAATGAGGTAATCTTTCAAGAGCTTCCTGATGGCCGCACAAAGGGCATGATTGACGGAGCCAAATTCTTCTCTGCTCTGAACTTCAATGAATGCTTCGATCGCACAGTAGTGTGTAGCCATTGAGAGCATAGAACTGGTCATATCATTGAGACTCAGATCCAAACCTGGAAGTGGATGAAAAGACGGCCCATTAAGACGATCCTTCTCCTCATTGGGGTTGTATTTCTCATGGAAACGAATATATTGTCCCTCATAACCCATGAAAACATAGAGCAGGTCATCGAGGATGGCTCGTTCTTGTTCTTGCATGGTCATGCTGTCCAGGGGTACAGGGTCAAGGTCGGTTGGAGCGTCTCGGGACAAAGGAGGAGCATTGATTCGAACAGCAAGCGGCGCGGACGAGTGAGGCATCAGGGAGACGGAGGGATTCCATGGTACTGGGAAAAGTGTCAGTAGTTGAGAAGGCTGTTCGCAGACGGATGATGCTTACCCATCTCTTCCTCTTGAACATGACGCTTCAGCACAGGGCTCGCTACACTCCTCCGCTTATTTTCGGCATTGGGTCCTTCTTTCTTCGGGCTACGTCTCGTGTAGACCGTATCTGTGGTCGTGATGGTAGTCTTCTCTTTCCGTCGTTCTACGCCACTAAATCGAGGCTCGCTCTTTGAATGTTTGTGCGCAATGTCTGGTTGCTCGGCATGAGAATCAGCGACACTAGGTGATGCAGTGTCGCGGACTGAGGGTCTCTCATAATCTCTGGCTCTGGTCGAGCTGACTCGAGAGGGGCCGTTAGGAAGATGTGAACTGCGACGGTCGGTGGCCGAACCGCTTCTGTAATGTATGGATGTCATGCCTAACCAGTAGCATCATTCTGGGGGCGAATGTTTCTGCAGGCAGAAGGTATCCAACGTTTAGCTAAATATTGTCGACTTGCCGTTATGTTGTTGAGGCACTCGTTTTGGTGTGACGCGGGGTGGAGGCTACGTCACATGATCACGCGTCAAAACACGTTCTTGGCGCGTTCATTTTATGATCCGTGTTCTCCGGAAATTTTGTGTTCATGATAGATAAATGGGTACCCAATGGTGAAGCGTGGTCTCTACTCTAAAAAGCTATCTCGAAATTCCTGAAAGATGTTGTTAGCTGCATCATAAGATTGGGCTTGCATGGGCTGTAAGACGTTCTTACCTGAAGACGACTCGCGCTGTTCAAAACGCCCACCTGCTGATAACTAGCGAATGCCCCAGCTGCAATTTCTTTTTTCCTTTCCTGAATTTTGGCCACTTTCTGCACACGCGGTTAGATGTTTTATTTCTGTCTCAAGAGTAATCGACTTGAGCCGGGCGATGATTTACCTCTTCAAAAGACCCTCGAACGCGATATCTGATCATCGTGACGTTTCTTGTCTGACCAAGACGATGAATACGTGATAGCGCCTGTTCTTCTATCACAGGATTCCATTGAGGCTCAAGTAGGTATGCGGTGGATGCTGCGGTCAAGTCCAAACTGCTTTCTCGTTAGCCCATGAACAAAAATTACAGCGAAAAGGGATGAAAGTGGTGTTGACACTGACCCAGTACCACCACATGTGATGGAGATGAGAATGATCCGGACGGATTCTTCTACTTGGAATCTCTGAATTTCCTCCTCACGTTTCTGACCTGATAGATTGCCATCAATTCTCACTTATGGAATTTTGGTTGGCTTGAGAAGAGACTCGACCAGGTCTAGGGTGTATGTCCAGAACGTAAAAACAACACTTGAAGAATATCGGTTAGTAATTTCCAGCATGAGCAGACTTGGTTCTCTCACCTTTTTTCGCTCTTCTCCCGGTCTTTGAGATCCTTCAGCAACGCTTTGAGCTTGGAAGGCGCCTTTCCTTCCTCAATGTCGGGAACTCTGGCCTCCGCCTCTTTGACCGATATTTCAGGAGCCCATGACACTTCCGCGATCGGGCATACTGCGTTACACTCACAGCCGGGTATTTTCTCACCTCCAGGTCGGTTCTGGATGCAGGAACCACAGATAAGGATAAGGCATTTGGACAGGGATGGTTTGGAGTTTTCAATCCGTCGGCCTCACCCGTTCTGGCCGCTATATTTGTCTGGCAAAGCTTGCAAATCGCTCCACCACTTGATACGAGAATCTCAAAGGCCTTCTTTGCCGTTGACTTGTTCCATGGCCCACAGTGGGAGATCGTCACGGAGGCTTTGTTCGGTTCTCTCCTGGAATGCATCAAACCATGATTGCATATCAGGCGAAGGCCATTCAGCCATTCAAGAGCATTGATTTACACGCCAGGCGCAGGAGGACTGTGCGCAAGAGCTTCGTCCAATTTCTTCTCAGTTCTACTCTTGGCAGCGTCGTAGAACGCTTGTTCCTCAGTGTTCATTTCAATGAATCGTATCTCGCTCTTACTGAGTGGAAGGTCGATGTCCGTTTTGTTTCAACAAAGTGAAACATATCTGATGAGTTTTCGGACTCGGGATACGTCGTTATCGCTAGACTTAAGTCAGGGTTTGATCACCATGGCATCAAAGATCTTCGGGTCCGAGAACGGCTCCAGATGAAGGAATGCCAGAATACTGCCGAGATCTGTGGCCTTGTTTTGGATCGGAGTACCAGTCATGGCCCACCACAGACTAGTATCGATTCCACAGCAGGCTTGTGCAATAGCTGTTGATCGATTACGAATGACATGTGCTTCACTTTCAAGTTAGCCTGCTGTACCTGTGTTGGGTCAAATACCTGCCCTCATCAAGAACGATTCTGTGCCATCCAAATGAAAGCAAAGTCGTGTCAGTGATCGAGGAGGTATTATGCTTTTTATGTTGGCTGGTGAGTGTTTCATATGTCGTGATCACAATGTCATATCCGCCTAGCGATAGCAACTTTTTCCTCTGGGCGCTGTGAAAGATGGACCCAGTCATAGTATGAGGTTTCAAGTGTCTTCTTTGGTTAGCCACCGGCCGATTGTGGATTATGAGGTAGAGTACCGTCGTAGTTGAGTATTCCAAGTCTTCAATACTGCAAAAACGTGAGCTTCTCATGCAATGGAACTGTATGAACAGCACTTCAGGCAGACAATGTTTATAGTCAACTAAGCTTAGTCAACAACGAGAGACTGCTACGGAGCTCTGCCACGATACTCAATTGTCGCCCCGTTATGTGCTGACTCTCGGTCTTGTACCACCACTCAGACATCGATCAAGGGTAGTAGCCTGGTCAGTGGCATGAGGATGATATCAGTCATGCAATCCCTGATGAATGTGAAACTGCTCCAAGGGTTATCCCAAGTATCAATCACATGTCTTGGCAGATTCAAGGATGTCCAGCCACGCTCTCCTCTCAAGGCTGCCTGCAGACAGAGTGATGTTTTGCCAAAGCGAGATGGATTGGATCCGTCCATTTGGTACTCACGCACCAGGAGGTCAAGCAGCAAATCTTGTTCCTCTGCAGTGGGATGATAAACCATCCCTCCGGCTTTCTCAGCTTTCGCTTCGGCATCAAGCGGTGCGTCCACCCCAGGCGCGAGGACCGCTGTCACCAGCTTTCGATAGAGGTGGGAGAGACTCGCAGCTGCACGCTGCGCACGTACATCTTGGTCAGGCGTGCTGAACCCTGGAGAATTACCCCCAAACACGTCACCCCCTGTGTCCACAATGACAACTGTGTCAATTCGACTGCGTGCAGCCAGTACTGCCTCGAACTGTAGAGCAAGGTCCGTCTTCTCATCCTCTGGGATGTCGTTGCTCTCCTCTCCCTGGTCGAGGACGATGAATATATCCTCATGGTGGTCGATTGGTATAGTTTCGAGGTCCCGGCCTTCGCTGTAGGTATTTTTAGTGACACGGTAGGTTCCTGAGACCATTTTCCCATGTGAATAGGCTGGACCGCCGTGTTTGTGAATCTCCCTTTTGACTCCCATTTTGCTGCCCTTCGCTCCCTGAGATCCAGTCCTCCAAGTCCGTGTCGAGATCAACAAGTTCATCTCCTTGCCACTTCTCCTAAGCAAATGACCCAGTAGACTTGCACTGATGACATCGGAACCGCCACCGCCACCTACGCCAGCATATTCTCGACTTGCTGACTGTTCTCCTGGGAGGATATTGGACAATGAGTGCAGGCGTGGTAGGTGACTGAAACTCATGACTGGAACAGCACTCCATGTAGCACAAAGGACCTCCGGACGACTCTCACTCAATGAAACATCAATGTCATCTTCGATTGTATGGCTGCTATTCAGGATACCCTGAGATAATGCTCCGATGTCCAGACAAGGTTGATTTAGCAAGTCGGCATCATGAGCCTTCCCACGCTTTGCCGAGGCAAGGTATTTACATATCACCATATGGCCGGCATCATAGACTCGAGCTAGCGTGAACAATCTCCTCGCCAGCGCTGTCGTATTGATAGCCTTCAGGAACTCGTGCTCTCCAAGGATCTGGCACACTGGTCGATCTGGTGAATTGACTGAATTTTCGGGTTTCTGTGATCGTCCGCCAAGCTGACGAGAGAGAATTACCTTCACATTTGGAGGCGACTCTGCAAGTGAGCCGCTGATCTCAGATAGCGAAACCCCCAGTAGGTCTGCTAGCACCTCACTTAGATCTATATCTGGGTAGTTTGCCATAGTGCTTTAGAGGTCGGAGTGGCTGAAAATCGAGAGTAAAATTGTTCCACTGGAAACCAATGAAGCACATCACATCCGCAAGGTCATTTTCGTCAAACAAGTCGTTGCCATCAACCTGGTAATTCTCCCACTCGACACTTATTTGGTGGGAAGTCAAAGTCCGCTGGCTATGAAGAGGCTGGGCCACACGCCCCCCGCTGAAGAGTTTCCATGCTTCGTCTCGGGTCTCTGCGCTTCACCGCAGCCGGCCTCAATTTACAGCCTGAGCCATACTCGATGTTTCGACCACAACGCTCTCACAAGGCTTGCGGATAACATACCACGAAAATATATTCAATGATCGCATATATTAAGCAATCGGTAACGACATATTCTAGAATTGTAAATGGCAACACGTGATCGGCCGACATGAGAAAGATATCCAAACGCTCTCCACATTGATCTACTGTCTTAGAGACGTGGAAACGGGGATCACACTTCCCTGCGCTGTCGGTGTGTCTCTTGCATCTACTTGTGGGACTGCTCTCTGCAAGCTGAATCAATTCGAACAATGAGTGGTTGACATGAAGTGTGATAGTTCAACTGTTATGGCAAGACACGCCCCTTTATGCGCCATAATCCTTGGGTGTCGATCATTTCTCAGAGAGCCGACCGCCTTTATGAACCACTGCAGTACGGAGTCAAGGGTGCCGTCAACTCGACATTTACGGTTGACATCCAACAACAAATTATGTGCTCTCCATATCGGGCTGGCTGGTAAGCTACTGATGTTGTCCCACATTAGCCCTCAACCGGGGATGCAGGAAACCAATGCGTCGGCTAATTCACTGGGTCCCCACGGCTGGCGGGTGGATGATGTGCTCCAATGGAGAGGTTCAGTCATTCCTGCATATGTGATGTAGACGCATTGTTATTTCTGCTACAACCTGCTACCAAACAGGATCTAGAACATTTTCTTCATCTCGTTTTTGCATCTACAGTGCGCTACAGATGCTGCAGCTGTGTACAGAAAACTTGTTATCTGCAAATGGCTTTGAAGAAAGGTCCCAAGATGCGCTCAGGCCAGCTTCGATCTGGACCTGGAGAGTCTAGTACATGATGGATACCCGGTTTCATTATTCACGTACTGAGTGCTCAGCAATGACATTGCACCCAGCATCTTCGCGCCAGATTCAGTATACAAAATGAAGGATCGATGAATGGGGATTGTGTGCCACTAGGGCAAGGCCTCCCTACGCCGAGAGCCCCACAATCTCCTGATGAACAGGACGTACTGCCTCCTTGTCTGGGCCGTGCTCGTCTTCCAATTCCTGATGTTCTCTGACCACCAACTCATTCTTGCCTTCACCAAGTTGGAGATCGGCGGTGTAGACCATGACCTCATCCTGATCACCAAACAATGCTGCAACTTCTTCTAATGGTATACCTTTGGTCTCAGGTAAGACTATGATTATCCACACCAGACCGACAGTACAGATGCAAATGAAGACCTATACATACACTGTCAGCGAATGATGTCACATATTAATCAAAGGTCCTGCTTGCCAAGTAGAATTTCCAGCCAATGTTTGCGAATGCTGTGGGAGAGACTTGAAGATAGATCAAGGATGAGAGGCATGTTGACGCCACCGTCAAAGCCAAGCCCTTGGGTCGCAAATGATTGGGGTAGATTTCCGCATCGAAAACGATCCCAGCAACATCGACGCCGCAGCCATATATGAACACAAAGACATAGCTGAGCAGAGCATTAGATGTTGATGTCATGCTAAAATTGGAGAGAATGGCGAAGAACTCACAACGCTGCCACTGCAGCACGTAGCGCGGCTTTGTTCGGCTCGGCAAGTATAGGATTGGCGTAGGTAGCGACCAACGCCGCTTCGACAACCAAGCATGCGAGGCAGCCGCCGATACCAAAGATCATCAAAGGCTTTCGTCCAACCTTGTCCATAATCAAGGCACCTATTGCATTTGCTTAGCATAATATGAGTCGTGGGAAGGCTGTCGTTTACCTGTCAAATTCCCAATGATTCCACACGTAATCCATCCACATTGAAGCTTCAGCTGCTGCTCCGTATCATAACCGAGGACGCTGTAGAGCGAGGGCCCATAGTTGTTTATCACTATATTACTGGTCAGCATGAATTTTAATCAACGAGGATCTAGCATATTATACCTACCTAATATTGCAGTGCTTTGACCGAGCGCTGCATATCCAGCACTCATGATAACTCGCTTACGATAAGAAGGTCGCTTGATTAGTTGCCAGTAAGAGGGGTCAAGGGTGCGATCATACTCGATCTGCTTCTGCATCTGATAGTATTCGGCGATAGCAAAATGATGTTCGTCGTGGTCTGCGAGATTGTGAAGCCTCCTGACGACTTGTTTAGCATCATCGATGCGATTGCTCATAAGTAACCAACGAGGAGACTCAGGAATGAACATAACGATCAGCGCAGGGAGTGCTGTAAAGATGAGTGAGATGCCGTAAGGTCCTCGCCACTGAGTTGACATGTTGGTTGAGTAGAAAAAGGCAAGGCCCATATATGTTGCCAAAGAATAGCCAAGAGCAATTCCAACTCCATTCATGCCCACACATAGACCTCGAAGGGCAGGAGGAGCAAGTTCGGAAGTGTATACTGGAGCTGAAAAAGCCAGCAGTGTCAGCATCTAAGCCAATCATGATAGAAATTATCGCTTACTGATGGCGATAAATCCCCATGAACTCATCCCGGCCAGAAATTTGAACGCAATGAACATTCCAACGTTCTGTGATGCACAGACCAAAGCCCCTCCTAATAAACCAATGCCTGTGGCAAGATAAACGGCAATCTTGCGACCCCATTTCTCCATGGCATAAGTAGCAGCAATGATACCGAAAATTCCGCCAGCCTGAAAGATTCCAGACATGGCCCCGATCAATGGTGTAGCTTGGGTAGACCATACACCTTGGTCATTCAAAAGATCCATGTAGGAAAGAAACGATGGCTGAGCCAACGTTGTCCCAATGATCGATGCAGGATATGAGAATGCAATCATACCTGTGCTAACACCAAAGCACATCAAAAAGTTGCGCCAATTCCATTGATCTCGTGCTCTGGCCTTCATGATGGAATAATGACTTGTCTAAGGTACGTTCTATTGACCGCTCAAGGCTGATGGCAAGCAAGAGCTTCCAACATTTCGACGGGATACAACGTTGTTTATATCCCTAATAACTTGCAGTGGGCTCTGGGACTAAGCTGACGCCTTGGAGTGGTAAAATGAAGGAGGGTATCAGGCTGCATGCGACATGCCAATAGGATTCCGGGTCTAAGAAACCCAGCACTCACCCCGAACATGGTGCATGCTTCTTGGGTAATGTGGGGCCACTGAGTAGCGAGCCTGGCAAGAATGCGTCTGGGGACCCCAGCATTTTCCGGGGGTAGCGCTTCGGAAATTATGTAAGTCCAACCCATGCTATTAAGAAAGCTGAAGAATTCAAGAAGGAGTCTTGTGTAACGTGTGTTCTTGGTAGCCTATTGTTGGCTGAGGCTGCCATATCATGTGATCGGAGCAATTCTCTTAGCGTTCGTCCTTCCCCCAACCTTGAAACGAGAGCAAGAAGCTCATTAATCCACCATGAGCAGTGATTGCTGACAATTCTCCAACTAGTCATCTTCATACATCTATCGGGCTCGGAATATAGGCAAAAGCAATGAGCGGAAGACGTCCAGGGAGCAGTTGCAAGCCCTGTCGGAAAGCCAGAATCGGTTGCGATGCGATTCTTAGAAAGGAAAATCCTTGTACTAACTGTGTTCGTCGTGGGAAGATATGCTTGAGAAATCAAGTAAGTACTATTGAGATTGCTTTGTACTGTTAGCTAACCAGCTACACTTCTGCAGCCTAATGCCGATGTGCCACAAACACCGCAGGAGAATGCTGCTTCGGGAGCTATCCATGAGGGCATTGGTGAGCGCCGCACCAGCGTCAGCATATCGGACTTGACTGGAAATGGAGTATCAGGTCCACTAATCGCGACCTCTCCGAATTTGGAAGATGCCTTGTCTCGTCGCGCTCAAGCTATGGCATTACATGCTATGCTATGGGAGATCTTCATATCGGTTTTTGAAACTCGCTTCACGCTGTGGTTGGGGCGGAATTGCATGCCCTATTTGGAAACAACGCTGGTTAGTACACCACATTTTCCAGGTTCTACTCGATTATCCCCAACTGAGCATATGCAGGGAACAAAGGCATCCATTTTCAGGACTGTTCTGTACTTGGACAAAGTTGACTCTGAACACGCCTCGAGCCTAGGGTCACATGCTGTTGTTTCAAATGAGGATCAAGAGGAGCTCAAGGTTAGGAAACGCAAAATCGATAAGGCGCTCAACGACGCCTTAAGATATGCTGTCTATGCATACTCATCACGGTGGGTCCATCTGAGAGCATCCTTCGTGACATCTACTTTGTTGCAGCAACAGCAAACCTCTCGGCAGATAGCGCAGCAACTCCAGGACGAATTGTGGCACAAGGCAAGGTTGCAAATATTTCCAGCACTCACAAATCCTAGCTACCGTTCAATACTAGCCATGTTACTATTCTCATTGACGGAAATGCCGGCTCGAAATGACGATCCTGGAATAAACGCACTCTGTGCTCAGACTTTGGTATCACATTTTCATCGTGTACGGCACTTATCAGCATACTTATGCACACAGCCACTGGCACAGTGCACAAGTGTTTCGCCGTATGCTCAGACATCACATCACTCCAATGTCCAGTATGCCACCGATGTTGATGATCAGAAATACCGCCATATGCGCGATTCTATGTTATGGTTAGGCATCCTCTGTGAGATGAGTCAATCTGCTATTCAAAAATATCCAATGATCATTTTCACCGGCAACTGTGGAGATGAGAAAGCGTGGAACTTCATTCGTCAGCGGACTATCATTTTTGACAACTCTTTTCGCATTCTCTACAAGTCATTGACGCCACTAGCTGAGGATGTTGTTGTAGTATTATTACAACATGCGTCCGCATGCAAAACCATGTATTATGGTGTCATCAATCAGTTTCGAGAATCACTGTCGCAAAGCAACCCTGAGGTTATAACCGAGTTTGCCAGGAAAGTCTCCGACGAGCGCCAAAGGTTTCATGATGTCTTCGATCAACTACTGACAAAATGTGGCCGTGATTATCTGACCATGACACCAGAAAGTCAGTTGAATTATTGTAAGTAGAAGCGAGAAACTAAGAACCTGTCATGGTCTGACCACAAGCACCAGTTCTTCTTATCTGCCACCAGTCATTAGGCTCATTGATTCTGGCAAACATACTTGAATCGATTCATAGCATGTCCCTTCCGCTGGAAAGCCCGTCATCGATTCGTCTACAGGCTTGTAGCGCAGTTGTACAGACTTTAAGTGTCGTTTTGAACTATGATCAGTTCTCAGCTGAAGACTCGACCAGCACCAGCAGACTACTTGCCGATCCACTACCCGAGTTGATGGTCGAAGTGCTATCAGAATGTGGCAAGGCAATCTATTCATTACTCGATAGCTGCGAACTCCTTCCAGGCTCGGCAAGGGTAATGTTGGCAGTCATATCAAGCACATTGACCCTGCTTTCTCAAATTTCAAAGACAGCTAGCATTGTCTTGTCGTCATTCTTAGAATTCGAAAGGACACATCAGCTCAAGATACAGGCCGACTTACCACCTCCAAGGGCTGTCACACCACGGACAGGATCTGGCAGGTTTCCAGTCTGGGATGAAAACCTCGCTCATCAATTCTTGCAGGAAGTGGAATCTCGTAACGATTTTGATTCCATAAGCCTCGAAACCATTATCCGAGAACATGATCGAACAGATCTCAGAGATTTTGATGCATCATCATTTGTGTACCCAACGACCTCTGAAGGGTCTATTCTCAGTTTTCACCTGACTCCTGAAGCTTCAAATTCTTGAGGACAACATCCAAGATTACTAGGCTTGGAATATCTGACGATCTATTTCATGTTATGGTTTGATTCGCCTTCAAATAAGCTATCGACGGCGACTAGGCACGCAATTATGGGCTTCATCGGAATATAGTCACCGCAATCAGGGGCAACATAAGTGACAGTTCATCTTGAGCAAAGAAACTCATATTATTCACGAGATCTTGTAGGATTTGACCCACAGGTAACACTTGAACTCGGATGTTGCACGTCTGAGCTTTGAACCTCGGAAACCCGTCTGCGTTCACGAACATTGTCCGGTCAGGTGAGCGCTATATGTGTTCCTCCCCTGATACCACGTTTTCCTCCAGAGCTTCCCCGCATTAGGTAAGGATTTAGCAACTTATCAAACACCACCCGATGGTAGGGAAGGATTTAATACATAGTGAGCCTCAGACGCTCGAGGTCTGTACCTTGGCTTCGGTGCTACAGACCAGAACGAGTTGTGCATACTGCTATTCGATCATGGCCATCTCACCATACTTTGCAGCCATTCTGGCATGTCTCACCCTTCTTGCTGTGGATTTCGTGCGAGTGGCGTTCAAGCGAGGCTTAAGAGATATTCCGGGCCCATTTTTAGCAAGGCTGACCTCCTTTTATCGCATCAGCATCACCTATAAGGGACAGTCTGTCAAGAGCTATCATGAGCTCCATAGAAAATACGGGAAAATTGTGCGCACAGGTCCATATCACGTTTCTGTGTCTGACCCGGAGGTCATCCCCCTAATATATGGCATCGCGAGCAAGTTCAGAAAGGTGCGAGACCCTGAAATGGATCGGACGCAGAATCACAAGCTTACAATTCTAGTCCGCTTTCTACAGCACATCCGTTCCATTCTACGAAGGTCAGCCCCTCGATAACATGTTCACTGCTGTCAGTCCAGCACTTCACAAGGCTCTGAGAAGTCCCACCGCACAGGTATACTCAATGACCAACCTTCGAAATTATGAAACCCACGCAAACGAATGCACCGAGATATTCATCGCGTTGATGAAGGAACTTGAAGGCCAGAAAGTGGATCTTACGCAACATTTTCAGTGGTTTGCATTCGACGTGGTCGCTATGATTAGCTTTCAGAGGCGCTTGGGGTTTCTTGAAACTCGAAATGACGTTTTTAGCATGATCGGTGTCGCTGATGTATGTGCAACCCAACGGTTAGACCTCTGCTTTGCACAGGTCCAAACCACCCTGTTCAACGTTCTTGATCAGCGAAGTGCAAAACCTCGATAAGAGTTCATTGGCACAGAAAGCAGCCACTCTTCTGTGATGCTGTCCTCTGCTGTCATTACTCCACATTAACCTCTCACCTGGTATATAAAGAGAAAACTAACGAGTCATGTCAACCAGACTTTCGCCATGTACTTTGCAATGATCGGACAGTTGCCCTTTCTCCACCCATATCTATTCGGGAACCGTATGTTAATACGATTCTTGAAATGGGCCGATCCATCGTTTCCCGATATTCTGGGTGACTTGTTTGAGGTACGAATTGTCGATCAAATCATGGTGCCAAAAAGTGCTAACACGATGTTCTATACAAAGCGAATCGAACATGAAATGCAACTTTATGATAAAGATGAGAAGGGAAAAGATCGAAAGGATTTCCTTGCGCAACTCAGATCTAAGGATGATCCCTCAAGACCAGGTTACTCTAGGGACCTGAAAAATCATCTCTCAAATAACATGTAAGCGCGCACCCATCCTGCCCATTCGGGTAACGAGCTTGGTCTTAACAATATGCCATGCAGACTTGCAGGAAGCGATACGACTGCCGTTGCCCTTCGTGCCATATTCTACTATGTGATACGAGATGCCCGCGTGTATAAGAATGTCATGGTCGAGATCGATGAACATGATCAAGCAGGAAAGCTCTCTCCGTTAATCACATATGAAGAGGCTCTGGCGATGCCTTACCTGTAAGCTGAACCTCGTCCCATTTGACTCAACGTGATTCTCCAAGCCAGTGAAATAACCAATTGCACAACAGGCAAGCTGTGATCAAAGAAGCAATGCGTCTCCATCCATCGAATTGTTATCCTCTTGAACGAGTCGTTCCTGAAGAGGGTGCAACCGTCTGTAACATCGATTTGCCCAAAGGTACGATCATAGCGACCACGGCACCACTCATAAACTGCAACGAAGACATTTTTGGCGCCGATGCAAGAGAATTCAGGCCAGAAAGATGGTTAGAGAATAGCGCTGAACGGCTGAAAGTGATGGAAAGGACATTCTTTACGGTATGCCTCCCACCTTCCATTTCTGACGGCCAATTCCTTCCCCCAACACAGCATGCACTTATCTTGATATATTATAATGAAATCCATACTGATTACAGTCCCAAACAGTTCGGCCATGGTTCAAGAGCATGTATAGGGAGAAACATTGCAATGTTGGAGATCACAAAATTCGTGCCTCAGATCCTACGAACCTTTGAGATGGAGTGGACAGCTGAAACTCCCGAGTGGGAGATCTTTTCTGCATGGTTTTACAAGCAGAAAAATCTAGTGTTTAGGTGGAAATCCAGAGCCAAAGGGAATACTGCACATACCACACCCATAGCATGAGAAGTCAGGCTTTTGCACACTAGAATCAAAGGTCCAAGAGTATAACCATTGTTTTGATCAACCTGATCTTGAGTACTGGATCATATCTGTTCTCTTCAAGACTTCAACGCTACAATAATCATTCAACAGGAGCCTACCAGGTTCTCCTCAACACAACATACTACGCATGGGGTTACGCCTGTTCCACTTTCACAAGACCGTATTCCTTGCTGAGATGCACCCATCCTTCCAGATCTCTTCTCAGTCTACTACCAACAGAGGGTTCCGAGCAGATGGTGGACCCATCCAAGACATTCGCGCATCAACTTTGGCTCACAGAACTATGGCAAAAGCTTGTGTCACGAGCACATGTCGCAGCAGGCCCGCAAAAGCAGAATCTTCTGTATCTGAATTGGTAGTGCCACCCGCACGGCTTCGGGAACACGAAACCTTCCGCGTCAAAAGTGATCGGAGATTGAGAAGGTCTGCGCTATCGCAAGGGAGAACAAAATACCCACACTAGGTAGATTGAGCAGATGAGAATCGTAGTTTCGGCTGGGCTGGGCGTAAGTGTGATACTCAGTAGAGTCGGTCTTTTTCGGATAGTGCCACTCCGTAAGAGTGTACAGCTATGATCCGAGGGCAAATAAGAGAAGACTACTAGTAGGGTTATGCGGTTCGACTCCTGATGAATTTGGAGATGTGACTCTAATTAAGTGTGGAGCAGTCTGTATTCTAGGGAGATGAAAGAAAAACTTCGACATATATGTTTGCTGTCTTTCGTAAGTTGTGGAAATACGCATAATTGAGCATGGTGGCCAGGGGGATAAGTAATTCTTTCTGTCCTTTTACGCAACTCGAGCGACGAGCTCACTATTGTCAAATGATCACAAGTCCGGTAAGCATGAATATTACATTGCAGATCCCAGAATCGCTTTCTCTATCAGTTTTCATTCAACTTGTACTCGACAGCAAGTCTCTTCCACCCCATTTGCCCTACAAGATATGCTGTTGCTGCAGTATGGTTGCTATTGAGGGTCAGCCATCCCCATCGTTCCAACAATCGATGTTCATGCACTTACTTTGTTATGACAGGACAAACACTCAAGTCTATGACTCGAAGGTTCCCAACTCCACGGACACGGAAATCACTATCCACACAGGCCGTATTGTCATCCTTGTGGCCCATCCTGACCGTACCGACAGGGTGCAGAACAGACATGAGATTCTGCTTGGCGAATGCTAGAATATCCTCTCGGCTATCTGATTCTGGTACTAGGTTTTTCTTCACAATGTGTTTAGCTATGTCGTCCGACTCGACAAATGCAAGTGCCTCGGCGACCCCATTTACGAACGTTTCTGGATCGTATGGATGCGAAAAGTAATTTGTTTCAATGATTGGTGGGGCAGCTGGATCACTTGAAGCCAGAGTCACAGAACCGCGAGACTGAGGATTCATTAGCATTACTGCTATGAGTAAAGACTCAAGCCCATCATCTGACAGTAACTCCTTGAGCACAGCCCCCTGAAGGAAGATTTCGATTTGTGGTACGTTTCGCTGTTGGATGAAGGCCCTTTTGGCTGGCTCGAGTCGATCGAGTTCAACTGTGGTCGACCTTGCAGGGTTGAATTTGAGAAACCCGATTATATTGGTCAGGTTTCGAGTTGCATCTGGTCCGGTCTTCTCTTTCTTCCACTGTGATCGAGCAGCTTCTATTTGATCTGGATCTCTTTCAAAACTGGCCGACGTACCCAGCTGAGATGATACTCCCCAATTGAGCACGATGTAGTTGTGGTCGATCATATCCTTCCCTATCTTCGGCTGATTTACTAAGCACGGAATGTCCAGTTTTTTCAACTCATCGCGAGGACCAATGCCACTCAGCATCAATAGCTTAGGCGTGTCGATTGTGCCAAGAGAAAGAATAACCTCATTCCGGGCCCTCACTTCTCTGCCATCAGCTAGAACAACCCCAATTGCATTCAGCCCTGCTGATCCTGTCTTCCCATCAAAGAGTAGTCTGGTCACGGTAGAATTGGTCCAGAGACTGATGTTGTCAGGAAGGTCGTTCAGCCAGGCTGTTGCACTCGTCGTTCGGAAACCTTTATGCGTCGTCGTCGAGACGGCGCCAACGCCAACTAATTCTCCAGCATTTTGATCCGGATTGAGAGGCCACCCAAATTTCAACGCCGCTTTCATCATCAAATCCAAGCCGGTTGGCCAGGTTGACCTCGAAGGAAGAGTGATGTCAAGAGGCCCTGAAGACCCATGAGCGCCTTTTTGTGGAGAAACAAAGCCGTCCGGATCCTTGTCCCCATTATCGTCGAAATGTAGGTTTTCGATTTCTCTGTATGCTTCAAGCACACTCGTCCAAGCCCAGGACTCATCGCCTACAATGTCCGCCCAAGCATTGTAGTCCGCCGACGAGCCTCTGATATAAGCGAGGAAATTGGCGATACTTGACCCACCAAGACCATTCCCACGAAGATACTCAAGGACTCGGCCATTAAGATGCTTCTGTGGTGTCGTCTCGTAACGTGTCGCAATCTCAGGATTCAAATAGACGTTGGTGAACCGTTCCGAGGCAACGCGAAGTTCTTCTCGTTTGTTGTCACCACCCTTTTCGATCAGCAAGACTCGAGGCCGTGTACTTGACCGTGCGAGATTTCCGGCTACTATTGCGCCAGAATTGCCTGCTTGAAAGTTAGGGGATCATATTATGGGCCACGGCCCTAGGTTATGGATGTCAAGGGGACTACTCACCGGCACCGACGACGATGAAATCGAAGATCGTCTCATCAAGCGAACCCATGTTGAACAATCAGTTTGTTCAACTTTGCACCGTTGCAGTGTACGACGACAGCCATTCAAAGCCATGTCCATATACTAAATATGTCGTTGCCAACATTTTACACAAATGGAGAGCTGCTGTTCAGCTTGAAAGGCAGCCAAGTCTAATTCGCTGGCTTTCCCCTCTTCAGCCCAGAACCTGTCTTGAAACCAGGGGTAATTTCGGAAAATCATGAGATCCGAACCGCTCATGTGACCGGATGACTATGAGTTCCAACACCATCCTGATCACAGGCCATGGTATACTGCTGAGGATTAAGGCACAAGTCTATTTATTTTGTTTCTTGATCAATCCACCAAATGCTAGTACTTCGCTAGAAGTAGATTACGAATTTCAAAATGTTGTTAGCTGGTACACGAACATCAGAAACACCAGGAAAATGATTTACCGATGATTGTGGGCTTTCGATTGTTGTAGCGAGATGGCTTTTGACAGAATTGAATTGGAGAGCGACCATATTCTGAGACTATGGGTGGTACCGGAAATCTCCAAGTTCGTGCTGCTTCATGTCTTAGCAAATGGCATTAGCTTGGAGTGAAGGTGGGAGTCAAGTTGCCAACGAGGCGACAACGCATTCTTTTGCTCGCAATCTCTCATTTTAGTCAGTCACCAGAGGCCAGTGTTTCGCCCCGAAGTGGGAAAGAGAAGAACCGGAAGTCAAGTGCTGTTTGACCATGGGAGAAGGCTATGCTGTAAAATTGTCAATGAAGGAATCTCAGCCTCGTCACGTGAGGTTGATTTTGAAGTGGTGTGAAGTGTCGCTGTGGGTGTGTTCACCACCTTCTTGGTATCATTAACGACAAGGTCACGATCACTTTAGGGCATCTGACTCGGTTTTTCAATCCCACATTGGGTATTATAAAATTCCATGCTAAAGCGACTAAACCCCACCCGAAAGACATTTTCGGTAAAAGCATGTATAACGTCAATAAAGAGCTCTACCAGCCCAGCCTTGCACCCATCCGCCAGCCCGTGGACGACTCACCAGAAATACCTTCGAGGACCTTCCTCCCGGCAATGTCTCAAAACTTTTCTATCTATTTCTCTCACGAGAATGTATTCGCCTTTTATCAGTGCCTCTAACCCTTGCAAAGTCAAAGAATAATTGCAATGGAACCCCACGAAAGCTGATTCTGATCCCCTGCACAGTCTCACAACCGTTGAATTACATCATTTTCGACCCTGCGAACTCGCTCCAGCTTTTGACCTCGGGAGGAATACCTTCCTGCTTTGGCAGCTTGGCATTCATACATTGCGCGAATAGAAGAGCAGTCTGGGAGCTGATGTTAGCGTTATATCATATGGCTCCAACTAGGGAGAACATACCTTTGGCTCCATGAACAATGGAACACCGAAATCAACGGCATTCCTTCGCATCACGTAGTCCTTGTCCACCAAGGTCTTTCCTCGAGTCTTGGCGATGTTGAAGACACCTCTGATGTCGTATTTTTGGAACACTCCTCGGAGTTTGTTCTTGTCCGTAGTGGGAAATTCAATTACCTCTATTGTGGCTCCTGACTTTTCCAAGTGTGACTTCACATCTTGATCTGCAGCGTAGAATTTGTAGCCTAGGGGTTGGAGATATTCAACGATCTTGGGGAGCTCAGATAGCTCTGTCGAGCCACCGAGGAGGATACCCTCACCAGGTTGAGGCAAACGGAAGTTCATGGTCGATTGCAGAGATGCCCAATATGCTTCAACGATGTCCTTGCCGAAGCATGCAATTTCACCGGTACTGCTCATTTCCACTCCCAAGAAAGGGTCGGCTCCTGCTAGACGGGTCCAAGAGAATTGAGGAACTTTGGTTGCCACATAATCACGTTTCTGAGCCATTAGATCTTGTGGCTCAGGAACATCAGTGTCGGTCAAAGCCTTGGTTGCAGTGGTAATGAAATTGGTTCCGAGGACTTTACTGACGAATGGGAAGGATCGTGAGGCTCGAAGATTGCACTCAATGACCTTGAGGGCAGGTTCTTCACCAGGAACACCAGTTTTGATGATTTGCATGTTGAATGGACCTGTGATATTCCAGGCTTTCGCCACTTTCACGGCGATTTCCTTGACGCGTGCCATGACACTCTCATCGAGATTGACGGGTGGCAGCACTAGAGTTGCATCTCCGGAATGAACACCAGCTGCTTCCACATGCTCCGAAACGGCGTGAAGGATCAGTTGTCCCTTTGAAGCTACAGCGTCGACATCAATCTCCTCAGCACCCTCAATGAATTTGGTGATCACAACAGGATGATCGGGCGAAACGGCAGAAGCTGACTCCAGCTTGTCCTTTAGTTCAGCTTGTGATTGAATAACAGACATGGCGGCGCCCGAAAGCACATATGATGGGCGAACAAGCACGGGGTAGCCGACGCTATCTGCGAAAGTTTCAGCATCGGCTACAGAGGTCAATTCCTTCCAGGCGGGCTGGTCGACCCCGATGGAATCAAGAATCTGTGAGAACTTGTGGCGATCTTCGGCTTTGTCGATGTCTTTGGGGTCAGTACCGAGGATATTTGCACCTCCCTCCTCTTGGAGGCGGAGTGCAATGTTCTGGGGAAGCTGGCCACCCACGCTTACCACCACACCGCTCGCAGCCTCGAGTTCATAGATGTCCATCACGCGCTCATACGACAATTCTTCGAAATAGAGTCGATCAGGGATGTCGAAATCTGTGCTTGTAGTCTCTGGGTTATAGTTGACCATTATCGTCTTCTTACCCATGTCTTTTAAAGCTAGGGTAGCATTCACAGCACACCAATCGAACTCCACCGAAGAACCAATTCTGTAGACGCCGGAACCAAGGATGATGGTGCCCTTGTCCTCGAAGGTGACATCATGCGAAGAAGCGTTATAAGTCGTGTAGAGATAATTTGTGTCGGCAGGAAACTCGGCCGCCAGAGTGTCAATCTTTTTGACCCACGGTCGAATGCCGAATTTCTGGCGACGGGCACGAACTTCACCCTCGGTAGCTCCAACGTACGAAGCGATCTGCTTATCGGAGAAGCCCTGTTTCTTTGCCTTGGTGAGAAGTTCCTGTCTGATGCCCGAGACTGAGTCGATTTCTTGAATTTCGGTCATAGTGTCCTTCAGATTCTGCAACTTGTGTAGAAACCACTTGTCAATCTTGGTCAAGTCGTGAAGTTTCTCGACAGAGTAGTTCTCATGGATCATGGCTTGGCCGACGGCGAGCCAGCGTCGGTCTGTGGGATTTCGAAGAGTTTCGTCAAGATCTTCAAATTTGTCGCCTTGGAACCCGACATATCTGGGATCAACCTGGCGGATAGCCTTCTGATAGGCTTCCTCGAACGTGCGACCAATTGCCATCACCTCGCCAACCGACTTCATAGCACTTCCGATGTCGCGCTTGACGTGTTGGAATTTGGACAAATCCCAACGTGGCATCTTGACCACAATGTAGTCCAGACTAGGTTCAAAATTGGCCGTGGTAGTCTTGGTAACAGCGTTTGGAAGTTCCGGGAGAGTGTGACCAAGACCAATCTTAGCAGCTGTATAGGCGAGAGGATAGCCGGTGGCTTTGGAAGCGAGTGCAGATGATCGAGAAAGACGAGCATTAACCTCGATAACACGGTAGTCCAGCCCATCAGGCTGGAGGGCGTATTGCACGTTGCATTCGCCCACGACTCCGAGATGTCGAATGATCTTGATAGCAGCAGTCCGAAGCATGTGGTATTCCTCATCACTCAGTGTTTGACTGGGAGCTACTACGATGCTGTCTCCGGTGTGAATTCCAAGAGGGTCGAAGTTTTCCATGTTGCAGACGGTAATGCAGTTATCCTCGGCATCACGAACCACTTCGTATTCGAGTTCTTTCCAGCCCTTCAAGGACTTCTCCACCAAAATTTGAGGTGAGAGGGATAGAGATTGAGAGGACAAGTTGCTCAATTCCTCCCTATTTGCGGCAAATCCAGAACCAAGACCACCTAAAGCATAGGCAGAACGAACGATAATGGGATAGCCGACCTTTTCAGCAGCTTCGAGAGCTTCTTCAACAGAATTGACCGCGATCGACTTGGCAATAGGGATGTTAATCTCGTCGAGTGCCCTGGCGAACAAATCTCGATCTTCGCTGGTCTCCAGAGTTTTGATCGGAGTACCTAGGACTTTGACACCGTAGCGTTCGAATAAGCCCATTCTGTTCATCTGCACACCCAAATTGAGACCAGTCTGACCACCGAAAGTGAGCAGAATGCCGTCGGGTTTCTCCCGTTCGATCACGTATGACACATATTCCGGCGTGACGGGCAGATAGTAGACTTGATCCGCGAGCTTGTGGTCAGTCTGGATTGTGGCGATGTTGGGATTTATGAGAACCGATTCGACGCCAGCCTCTTTGAGTGCCTTCAAGGCTTGGGCACCTGGTATCTAGAATTAGTGACAACTCTTGATCGTGTAGCGTGTGCATCTCACCAGAATAATCGAACTCTCCAGCCTGTCCAATACTCAAGCCACCACTACCAATGACCAGAACCTTCTTGACATCAACCAGATTCTTGCCCTGCTCCACAACACCGCTCTCCAGGTATGACTCGGCGCGGGGAGGTTCTTGGACCGCAGCATAACGACCAGTCGCACGGGTAAACTTCCTGGTTGCCTGCCATGTCGGGGTCTTGGACGTGAGGAGATGCTGTCTAGCAACGAGACTCGGACGGTAGGTAGAGAAGGCCCTCAAAGCAGGCCGTGCCCTCGGGGTGCAGTCCCTCAGCAGGACACCGCTCGCGTTTCGCAGAGCCCGGGTTGACACCGCCATGATTGCTAGGTGCAGCAACCCAACAACAAAACAAGGATTGGCTGATGAGCTAGCAACAAAGCTCGTGACCGAAACAAACTCAACACACGAGCAAAGGAGCAAGGTGAGAGGGGAGAGGGGAGGAGGAAGATTTTTATCAGAAAGAGCACGCAAGCCAGCAATCAGATAGACAGGAAGAAAGTCGGAGTCACCAAAATTGCTGCTGGCTTTGCCGGGGCTGCTGCTTCAAAAAATTATTGGGGCTGCGTGCTCTTTTTTTGCGGGAGCCAATCGATAAGCTATTGCGGCGGCACTGCAGGCTTCAATTGCAGGTGGAGGTGTGACTTTGGGCTTCCGAGTCGGATCCCTCCCCACCGAGTGATGTAGATGGTGTCCTTGTGGTGGTAAATAGTCGTATTCAGTCTCAACGATCACCAGAGGAGCTACCTAGGTACTTGAGCTGTCTCTGTAGGACATACAGAATACACCAGAGCTACAAACAAACATCCGAAACATGAGGCACTGCTTTACTGCTAACAACTCCGGGCAGCATCTCTCCGTAAGGTTCGTGGTCTACGAATGACTGCCACCGGCCCTAGCCCACCTACCTACGTAGGGTGAACCGTGTTGTAGAAAAATTCTCTGCAACGATGTTTTGTTCTTTTTCTTGCTTAGGAAAAATCTCTCTCCTCCCAATCATGTGGATCACCGCTTTGAGGACTGGCAAGTGCTTGAGAAAGGAGGGGGGAACTACTGCAAGGGAAACCAATGCGTGAACTCGATGGATAATTGCTCTAACCGCTTTTGAGACACCGCTTTGATCTGCCAGTTTTTCCTTCACTTTTCGTTCTCAAAGTCTGCACTGCTCCACCTTCAGCCTCAGCCTGTGAGCGACGACTACTGGAGCAAACGTTCTATTCCATGCTCGCTAAATCCAAAGAGAGAGGAAAATTTTGTGGTCATTCATTTTCATTCATCCGCTCACCACTGGAGAGAAGTATTTCTCCATGTCCAAAGGCAACTTCCGATACATCTAGCCATCAAGCTGGGTGTAGTTCGACGGGAACAATCCTGCCTTTCCTTTGTACTCTCCATGCCACCAGTCCTCATCGGGGAATGTCTGTAGGAATCATTTGTTTAGTAGGGTCATTTTATAGTAATGGGGGAAGCTCTACTTACAACATTGGTAATGGTGGCATTTTCCGGGAATGACAATTCATTATCCTCACCCGCTTCATAGTCGTAGAGTGCTGTTGCAGTAGCTCCTTGAGAAGCCGCCGGTGCTGCCGGTGCTGCTGCTGCTGCAACAGGAGCCGCCGGAGGAGCCCCTCCAGCATCGTCATCTTCAACAATGGTCAAATAGTTGCTGGGGACGAGTCCGGTCTAATTCTCGATTAGCATTTTTCACCTGTCTCTCCTTATGAAAGTGCAGCCACATACCTGCCCGGCTTCGTTCTTGACCAACCACCAATCAGGGTCAATTCGTTGGATGTCCGTGACCAATTCACCTAGAGAACCAAAATTAATACCCAAACTCCCGTATGAGAGTCAAAGAACTCACCTTCACGCAAAGACACTTCGTTATCTTCGGCTGCCTCGTAGTCATATTCAGCCCGTGCTTGCTCACCACCTCCACTTGAGGGGCCCGCTGATGGAGCAGATGCTACCTGTTGTTGCTCAAGGCTTGAGGCCGCCGCTGCTTGAGCCGCCGCCCTTCCGAAATCATGTCCACCAGCAGGTTCATCATCATCATCAGCTGCCGGGGTAGGAATGGCTCGTGCGATGGATTGTGCTGGAAGAACAGGAGGTGGCGATAGTTGTTCCTCATGTGCATCTTCAACTCGTGGCACCGATGCACTGACCGGTTGAGCCAGACGAATTGGGGAGGATGGTTCTGGAGTGGGAGGTGTGGGACTGCGAGGCTGGGCTGGTGGTGTAGGCATACGAGGTGCAGGCACATCCTCCTCTCCATCACTCTCTTGCCGTGCCATACCCGGAATAGGTATACCACGATTGGGCTTGTTGCTCGTCTCGGGTTCTGGGGCAGGAGGGGGACCTCGATCAAAAGCAGCTGCAGGTGCTGGAGCACCCATCGGAACAGCACCACTGAAGCGATCGCGAATCGACCCGATCCCTCCACTTGGAGATGAAGGTGCTTCGTCCGCATCTACTTGACCAGAACTACCCCCTGTGGCCTGCTGACCGATGCTAGATGTTCCAGTACGAGTAGTTTGTACAGGCGCCCAACTTTTCCCCGCATAACCACTTTTCCATTCATTTCCGCCGCTAGGTTGTGTCTGAATCGGAGCTTGGCCTGTGTAACCAGAGGGAGATAGTGGTGCATCTCCTGATACACTAGTACCTCTCTCTCGTGCCTTCTTCTCCGCCCAGAGCTGTGCGGGCGTCTTTCCTGATGACTCGGCAAATGATCTGCCAGCCGCTCCAACCTGTGGTGTAGCACCGCCCTTTGATTGTGCGTCAAATCCCCCAGGTAGTGGGGCCTTTGTGCCTCCAAAACTTGTGCCTCCACCAAACTTGTTGGCCACCTTTGGTTTAGGAAGAGAGGTGAGCCGCTCAGGACCCTGCGAAAATGCGGCAGATCGATCAGCCAGGGAACGTGGTCTATCCTCCGGCTCATCTGATGGCACATTTGAGATATTGGAAGTAGGCGGGGGCCTCGAGAAGCTTGAAGATTCGTCGGGCTTTTGAGCCTTTGCACGAATAGCGGCAATGTCGACTTTGCCAACAGGCTCATACGCTCCCTTGACAATTTCAGGACGATCATCCTTTGTATTTCCTGACTGCTGAGCCTGTCTGCGAATGGCGGCAATATCAACCTTACCTACAGGTTGATAGGCGCCTCGAACCACTTCAGGTCTGTCATCAGATTGGCTACTACTGAATGCAGACGGCGCAGGCTTTTGTGATGTCAACTCTCGCATATTGACTTTCGTGGGTTGATAAGCTGACTGAACTTTTTCCAATTGTGTTCGTGTGACCTCTGGTGCATCGGAACCCCATCCATCTGCGTCCGTGTTGGTATCCCTCTTGGGGGCGGCATTGCGTGCAATGGGATTGTAGCCCCCGGATCCTGAAAATCCGCTACTTTGCGTGGGAGTGAACACTGGCTTGCTGGCAACAACCGGTTTTGTGGCAGCTACTGGTGGAGGAGCAGAACTACTGCCAGAATAATTCGAACCCGAAGCATCAGCCACCTTCTGAATGATACCTTCAGGAGTCAAGTCTCGATCAGACCTGGCCGTAATCTGCACATGGTAGCCATGGAGGAGTTTTGAAACCGATGTCAAATGGCTTGTAAAGTAGCCCTTTGTTCTTTCAGGGACGCCCTCACCACACCAGGCTATGAGAGCACTTTTGGGGAGGCCTGAATTGGAATCTTTGACTTTTACAAACGCAAACTGAATGCGTCCATCTGAGAACTCCTCCACCAAATCCACTAATTCTCCTTCGCCTGTGCTCTGAACTTTTAACACACTTTCTTTGTTTCCTGAGTCTTGCTGAAAGGCATTTGCTAGAGGCGCTGAAACCGAGAATACAGCCCATTGACCGTAGGTTGGAGAGGAAGCGGCTGGTCCGGAGGGTGGGGGAGCGTTGACAATTGCCTGGTAGCTTTTGGTGATGGATGGACCATTGGTGGAGAGGTTGAGAGATGCCATGGCGTTCTTGTATATGTGAGAAAGGCCTGGTAAAACACCAGATCCTTGCTTTCACCGCAATGAATGATGTGTCTTTGAGAATCGGCTGTGTAGGAAACTGACCCAAAACTCGGCAAAGTGGGGAGGAGCCAACAGATTGATGGAGCTCTGTAGGTAGAAGGACGTCAAGAGAGATAAATGTAGGAGCGAGGCGTATCGCTTGCAAGGTCTTCTAACCTCTAAGATGAGTTGAAAAGAAGTTGGATGAGTGCTGACTTTGAATGTCAAGGCCACTTTACTTGAATGTGGTTACCTGGTGCTGCGGTGGGTTTGGGCTATGCGGAGTCGGAGCTGCAAGTCCAATTGCACTGCCAGCTGTATGACATAGTGTCACGTGGACCTACGCGACTAGTGTCTTGGTAGAGTCTTGGCTTGGAAACGGCGAAACTATTTTCCCTTTACGTGATGGTGAAATCAAGGCTCCCACCAGTTCGAACTCCACTCTTCTTGCTTCTCCTCAATCCTCCAACTAGCAACCTGCGCCCTCCACACAATTCCAACGTCACCTAACTTCCATTTATCAACATCTACCCCATCGCATCACTTTTCATCTCTGCCCATGTTTCAGATCGACTGCCTATTACTGATTCACTGATACCAGGCTTGATATTCGCTATTTGACGAAAATCGCATGAGCAAGTCTCACACTGCGCATTTGAACATCCATCATCCCCAGGCTCTCATATCCTCCCAATCTAACACAATCTCGCACAGCTGCTTCATTGATCTTCCGGCTGAGCGCATATCGGATATACTCAGACATCCGTCTACGGAGACTGGACGTTCCAGGCTACTCTGATATGCTTCTTGCGCGTCACTCGTGAAAGCGCAAATCAGGCGCAGTTAAAACCTGCTGGCAGTCTTTTGTTACTCTGCCTCGTCCCACAATCGCCAAAGGAGCACGTTTGCTCGCAATGATTTCGGTCCTTATTCCATCAGAACCAGATTTGGTAGCACACCAATATATCAGCTCTCAGTGCTGATATCTAGGTGGTCTACAACTTCTGTGTCTACATCTTTCATTTTGACTGTTACTCTGCCCTGCATAACCATATGGATCTCTTGGGCGCTCCTGGGAGAAGCGCAAACAGCCTTGGGAAAAGAAAATGGCGGCCATCTCCAGATGACGATATTAGTGTCAACCAAGGACAGTCTGCCCCACCATGGGCCGGCCTTGCCTCCCGAACATCAGTTACGCCTGATGGCGACGCAACAATCAAGAAACCTAGGAACTCAGCCACGGATCTGCAAATGAGTATGCTAAGATCATCAGAGGATACCCTCATGCATGATCAACGGAATCTCGCAGATCTACCTTCTGAGATCTTGCAACATATCTTTTCTTTTGTTGATCCTCTTTCACTCGGGTGTTTGATGTGCGTCAATCACTCTTTTCATATGCTTCTTGATCCTGCAATACCTTTACCTGAGCCCTCCGGCCAGGTAAAAATATTGAGTCTACGTCGCCAGGACCTCATATGGGCTATATCTCGCAAGACCTTCATTCCTAACTTACCCAAACCCATGGATGGAGCAACTGAGCTGGATATGTGGAAACTTATTCGCGGTCATTCTTGCCAATTTTGCAGAAAGAGGCCAAATACCAAACCGCCTACACTGGCATCAGCTCCTTGGAATGCCGGTCCGGGCTTCAATGGGGTTCGGCCCATCTGGCCATTTCGCGTGCGTTCATGTAGTAGCTGTTTAGAGCGCAAGATTATCAAGATCAAGGTAAGAGTTTTCATTCATCAAGACGGTTAGACACGGACTTACCGCCCTCAGGAATCTGATTTGCTACTTTCAAGCTCGAACCCATCCAAGCTATATCCTGGCTTACCCTTTGCATTCTTGACCTCAACGATGGATTATGTGCCATCTGTTGTCCTCCAACAGATAGATCGGCCTCCACGAGTGAAGCTCTCCAAATGTTATTATATCCCACAATTGAAAGAACTGGAACTGAAAATCAAGGACGTCGAAGCGCTCGGATCTGCAGCCACGGAAGAGTGGTACAAAGGACTCGAGGAAATTGGAAGACAGTTGAACCATGATGCCACAAGAATGGATCAATGGGAACTTCAGGGTGGTCTTGCAAAGACTTCTCGACTTGAACTCATCGAACACAGGAATCTCAAGGCTTCCTCTCACGGAAATTCTATTATCCTTTCGCCAGATCATGGCGGTCCTTTGAATACGTCCGTTCACTCGAAACAGTCTATTGTTTCTGAGGATCCCGGAATGCCTTCAATACCGGTCAAGTTCCAAGGTGAGTATCTTGCTACTGGAGTCACAAAAATGCCTTTCAACTTCCTCCAAGATAGATCTAACAAAGGTTTCGCAGCTCCACTTCGGCACCCCAGCTCGTTAACGGTTGCGAGTAACCCAGGGCCACCACATCTTCCGGGTTCTCATACGGAGAATTTCCAGGAAGCTTCTCGGCCTCTTCAAGCCTCTGCTGATGATAACCCTCGTCCTATCAATCGCGCCAAACCAGGACGCACCCATGAAGAAGCTGAGCGAATGAAAGGACAGCGGCGCAAAGAGATTGAGCGGAGATGTCAAGAGCTCACTCCTCCTATCATGCCTGCAACTCTGGAATTTATGAATGCGTTTCAGGCTTCACTTCAAATCTCACTTCCCATGGATGACAATCAGTGGGCAATTCTTAGACCTCGTCTTCTGGCACAAAGGATGGAAGCCCTGCAAAAGCAGACAACCCAGGAACAGTTATCGCAAAACCCAGCCATGCAACTCGAGGAACGCGAATTTGTCGAGCAAGAACAACGCGTCGCTCAAGAAAACATCGAACATATGTGGACTGAGCTCAAAATCCCTCCGCGCGACAAAATTGGTCGCTATGCCCGTAACTTTGTTCGCAACTTCTGGAGAGATGGGAACGGAGTCACCAAGAACACAAGCAGCAAATTTGCTGCTGAGGTTCTCTGCCACATCAGGCAACAATTTGAAGAGGCCATTGCTCAGGAAGACAAAGTGCTTGAACTGAAGGGCACTGCTTTCCCACATGACCCGGCTTCGCTGGCGCTGCGAAAATTGAACCTGGAGGATATGAGATGGGCTTTCGTGGAATTCGTCAAGCCCCACACTGACAAATTTGGTAAAGAGCTCTTTTTATGCAGTCTATGCGATAACACCCAAAAGCTGTTCTCCTTCGAGTCGGTGATTCAACATTATGCTGCAAAGCACACAAATCAGTTCAGCCGTGGAAATGCCATTGTCTACTGGAAAGCCGACTGGCCACTGGACCCTCCTTTTGACCCATCGCCGAACATACCATGGATACGAGATGGAACTCAACCTATGGCACATATTAGGATGCAAGGACATTATGCACAACGTGCCTGGACGGCTCCCACTGACCCAGCTCCAACCTATACTAGCAGCCACCAAAGTTTTATCAACGAGATTGTGGCGTTCTTGAGAGAGTCTTGGAGCCTGACAGACGGCATACCCAACCTCCCAGAAGCTTTGCGGACGTCCGTGGTTGTCCAGCTCACATGCTCAAGGTTTTCGCAAAAATTTTATGATGACCTCGACCTTCACCTCTTCCTGAATTGCGTACAGAATAGACCAGAGGTCGACTTTCTTCTCGGGATCACCGGTCTACAGTGTAATGTGTGCTCTCACCGCCCTGAAGTGTCAGGATGGTCTTCATCTGGTCGGTCTCTTCCAGAACTACTGACACACTTCCAACGCACGCACATAGACTTCGATGCGTCGAGTCATACAGAGTATGGGATACTTTCCTCGGGCTCCAGAACAAGTACCAGTTCTACACGACTAGACTGGAAGAGAGATATGATCTTGGTACCAAGTCGGGCAGAAATCCAAGCCTTTCTCCATTCACCAACAAGTGATCCACAAAAGGTGCAAATTATTGCGGATGTCCTAAATGCCCCTGCATATACGTTGCCAAAGCGAGCCGGTCCGTCGTCTCAAATGTCACTTTCGGATTCTGTGCATTCGCCGGTGATGCAGCAAGTCGCCCACCTACGCCCAAGATCGAATCATGGTAGCATCCGAGCCTCCTATCCGAGTCGGAGCATTGCTCGTTCAGAAGTATCTGTGCCCGTATCAGAGGATGAATACGACCCTCATCGACCAGGACCCTCCTTCAGCGAGGCCCGAATCATTCCTATTCAGTCTCAGGCTCAGGTCTCGTCTTCAGCGCGCGATCATTTCCGAGCTCTTTCTGGCAACTCCCCTTCTCTGCCGCTTTCTGAGCACCGTGAGTATCCCTTGAGGGTTCACGCTGAAGAAAACAGATGGGGCTTTGTTGGCCACGACCGCGCTATGTCAGGGGCATCCCCAGACCGCCAATCCCATCATTCATCCTGGACTTCGGGCAGGGACGCTCCAGGCAGTCGACATGATCTTCCAATACAAGGACCTCGGTCCGTGGATAGTCGACCTGGGAGCAAAATGACGAGTCATCATACACTGCAGCGACCCGCGAGTGACGTTCCGATCACGAGTTCCACGAGCTCAACTCAAACTTTTGCGGCTGGACAGCCAGGATCAAATACAGCCGTCTCAGACTTTCTGAATAGCTTTGATCCGACTGTACGGGAGGAGGATAGCAACTCAGAATCAGCGATAAGCCGGCATAGTGCAAGTTTGAGGAGGTTGACGGCACATGAATACGCCGCACCAAGACATGTTTTTGGCCAAGGACTCGACCTTGCGTATGCTAGTGCGCATGAGGCAGCTCGGCCTGGATTCGAAAGAGGACATAGCCGGCCTGATACACTTCCGGTGCATCTTCAAGAGGACAGGCGGTTTGGAGTCAGCGAGGCCGATTATCAGACTCAAATTTATGTTTCGACCCCAAGGGACCGGCTAGAGGAGCACAGACACCCTCGAAGCATCATCAGGGATCACGGTCATGTGGATGATGTCTCTAGAACACATCATCGCACTCGAGAAGAGCCATACACGCGATTATCCCAGGAACAATTCAGAAAGTATCAAGAGGCTGAGTACGAAAGGAATGCCTATCGTGAGGAGAGATTTGCCCCTCCTATATCTCGATATGAAGTGGTAGCGCAGCCACCAATGGAATTTTATCACCAACGGCCCGATCAACCTGCAGAACGGTTTGTCGAGTCACATCGTTTAAGGCAGCAAATAGCCAGCGATCGTGATGAATACATGAGAGACACAGACGGACACATTTTGTACGTGCCGGTGGATCGAAAGTATTACGAGCAGACGGGAGAACCTGGATACACTCATCCCACGCGTGATAGGCAGAGCGGTTATACCAATTACAATGATGCACAGTACGTTCGTCAGGGCACCTCGGAGGCGGGCCTATTGAGTCATAGCAGCCAACGAGATTCTCGGCCACGCAGCTATAGGCCAGACGATGAGACCCGACCTTACATGACTGGATGAGAGCCCGAGAAAGAAGGCGACAATCTGTGTCACCGAACACAAGACAAGACAAGACAATACAGCACAGTACAGGTTTCACGAGGGAACGTGCATGTGCGAGATGTGGTAGAGACAAAGACCGAGACAGAAGATGCCGGTCAGCATGAAGGATGACTGCCCTGGATGGCACCGCACCGTATTGCACGGCATCTGTGACGGAGCTGAGCGGCTTTAGTGATTGATTGTTTTTCTCTCTCGCGTTCTTTCATGTTTTTCGTGGCAGATGATACCCCCCATGATTGATTGCTATTTGAGCGGAATGCAGAATGATATGAACATGACGTACGAATGAAAGCAATAATAGCAAACCCATCTAATCCAAGCTCAATATCGTGACATGGTGATAAGCAACAGAAGGGTGACATGGAATAATACCATTCGAGATGACCCAGGGAAAATCAGAACCACTGGCTATCTACCAGCGTCATGGATCTAACTTGGGATTGGCTCGCGACCTTGACTCCTCGCTCTCGTGTGCATTTCCAGATCACAACGGGGAAAATCATCCGGCAGAGGAAAGGAAAGGAAGGGAATGACTTTTGACATGACGTACGACGAAATGAACCGAAAACATGCCCACGCAAGGGCCATGCCACGCACCAAAAGCAAAAAGCAACGAGCACTTGTTAGTTAGCTGCTTGATTAACTATGTCAAGTATGTCAACGTGCGTGAGTGACTTCTCGTAAGGAACTTAGTCCCACCACACAAAAGAATGAAGGATAGACTTTGCGATCCGGATCGCCTGGGTAGGTTTGTGTAGGTTAGATGGCTGATTGCGAAGGGGGGAACTGATGATGCGCTGTGAGGTGAGATGGGGAGTTATTTAGTTAGTCTGCTGCGTGGCTGCCCAATGTGAGGCGCGGGCTTTTTGCATGCCATGCCAGTATCATCGCCAGTGCAGTGGCTTGGGGATGCAGCCACACTTGGCCTTGTTGTGGTCCGTCATGGGTAAATGACACTTCACACTTCACACTTTCGAGCTTGTTCTAACTGGGGTGATACCTCCTACGAGTACCTATGGCCTGTGGCCTGTGGCCTGGGTTGGGCTACTTGATATTCGGGATACTATGTATGTATGGCCGGGCCTTCCTTGGGGTCGTCATGACGCGTGCAGCACCGTGTTTGTTGCCTGTCTTGTGAGTAAAGATGGGAAGGGGAAAAGGAGGAGGAGGTATCACCCATGCTCATAGACGGAAATGCAGAACGGAAGGAGATGCAGGACTTCCATCACTCAGGCTGTATTATTGCATGGGGGGAGGAAGGTCCTTTGCACGGTTCCTCAACATATTCACGGTTGTGATACAATGTCTAGTACTTACGCTGTAGTTACGTGTCCGACTCACTCGGATTAATGATGAGATCCAAAGGAGGGTCAAGCAAGCCGGAGAAAATAAAGATGAGTGCACTGAAGGTAAGAAGGTGGGGAACCCTGAGCTGGCCGTGCAGTACATTGTTGTGTAGATGAGTGAGTGAGGCTTTGATGACCCAAAAACAGGCCCGGAAGAATGAAAAAATACTGTCACCTGGAGCAGAGCAAAGCTCATGTTTCATGTTCATAGTTCTTGCTGACCCTTGTATCCCTGGCCGAGAGCCTGAGCAAGCTGTGGTTTGGTTAGGGCTGCAGAGAGTGACAGTTGGCACCTGCCTTCTAATGCAGTGTGTGCTTTCACTTTGTTTTCCGGTGGCCGCCACAAAAAGGAACATTCACTTGCCCTCCCAGAGAATGTTGTTGACTGTGGTGGTTTGTGAACTTGTGACAGCAGGAGAATGCGACGGCGGTGTGATTGGTGATCTCCGAGGCTGATGCCTGTCCCCCGGTGCGTCATGGTTCCTTCAGGTGATGATTTTATCTCTGTGCTGGGTGGTGATTGTGTCACGATACCGGAAATCAGAAATGAAGGTGCAGCGTTCAAGGGTCAGCGAGTGCCGACTACCTAGTGTGATGGATTGATCATGCCGGTTCATGTCCTTTCATTGCGAGCTCGATCATCATGAAAATGAATATTCCTGCGTCTGTCTTGATGTATTTCTTTACGCCAGACCAGAAAGACCAGAACCAAGGTTTGAACCCTCACTAGTAGATGGGAAACCACGGCTCAATACGATGGGCGTGGGAGCGGTGTGGTGTTTTCCTTTCACCGCCGACCTTTTCTATTACTTGACGGTGTACTCAGTATCTAGGACCAAGACTACGATTGCTTAGGTGTAGATGTTCAACAAGTATTCCTTCTTTGGGGCCGGATGCCTCTGGAGACTAGTCCTTCACCTTAGGGCAACACGAGAAATTACCAAGTTGATGGTTCTCGGAAGCTAACTTGGAAGGTTCACGGTAAAGCAGACTGCAGGATAGAGTTTGAAGTTCTCACTGCCAGTGGTGCAAAGAAGAAGCGGTGGAAGAATTATGCTAGATATGTTGAGACGGAAACAGAGAAGAGGTTCGTTTGCTGATGGGGGCTACTGACCTACCTGCGTGTCTACAAAAGTTGTTGATCGATTGATGCGCTGTTGATTGACCAAGGGTCTCTTTATGTGATTGTGTGGATTACCAAGGGGATGGATTGTGATGAGGCTGATATTTGGGCCACTGCATTGCCATGTCTGAAATGTACGTACATCCAACGAGTACGAACCTTGGAAGTCTGATGAGATCTCGGTGAGGACAGAGTTTGATCGGTAGTAGAGCACACCACCACTAATCACGCTAAAACAAGACTAAATCACTAGCTTCATACTAGCATCGTCCTAGTGTCTGTCTAATAATTCTTCCGACCCCGGGTCACACCTTTCCTTCCACTGCAATCACCCCTCCCACAAATCCCAGCCTCCCACTCGGAATCACCAAATCCCACCCTGTCAATTGTTGCATCAAATCGGCTTCGACCAACAGCTCGTTGTTTGCTCCACCTCCACCTGCTCTTCGTCACTTGCTCTCTTCTCTCCTCCAACTTGCATCTCAGGCTTGACTTGCATACACCAACCATCCTGCACCAAAACAAACACACACCTTAACGGCTACGGTGACTTGGTACTTACCCGTAGTTCTCCTCCTCCCTCTCAGGCTCTTCGTACTGGTTCCGGTCTCATTTGTCCTGTGTTCGACCTTTTTTAGTCTCCAACCTTACAGGATCTACTCCGGACCCAGGTAGTCATCTCCATCCGGCTGCCTTTGCCAAAACGCCCCTCGACTGACTTAACAAGCAACACTACTTGGTAGTTACATATCGCATCCTCCACCCAATCATCAATGTAAGTTTTCTGGTCCTTGTCTATACTATTCTTATCCGATCAGCGACCACTCCGCTGTCCCGCTTGGAAACCCACTGGCTGCGCAGGTCAACTCCGTAGCTAACCTACTCGTGCCATTCCACCAGTCCAGCTTCAGCTCAGCGCTCAACGACCACTTCATCTGCAGCTGTCCGTCCCGACCCTCACCCACTGTCCTGCACGTCGCGCATCGTCCCAAACTCACCGAATTGTTGCTGAGAACGCTTGCGCACCCCCAATTTCGTCATCCAACACCCTTCGCTCCCATCCTCGTGGTAGACCGCCTCACCCATCGTCCTTGCCGATTCGATCCTCGCATCCCCCGGGAATCGTTTTGGGCACAAACGCTGCCAGACCAAAACCCAACCCATCGTCTGACCAGAACCACTCCAGACGAGACCGCTCCCTCCGCCGGTAGGAGTGACGCAGCCCGTCAGTCTTAGGCACCACGCAGTTAGCCTTCGCCCTGCCCGCCCCTGCGTGTGACCACGTCACTACCGACCAAGCAACTTTGCGCCTCGCCCTGCGGCTATCCTCGAACTACATCATGTCGACCTCCCCACCCAAAGAGCCTGATGTCGAACAAAGTGCACAGTCTGGAGAAGAGCAGGACCACATGGACCGCGAACCAGAAGGAGCACAAGGCACCGGCTTGGGTGAATTCGAAGTCAAAGAGCAAGATAGATGGCTCCCCATAGCAAATGGTTGGTTCTACTCCCCTTCAATTCCCCCTCAACTCAATTTCCCTCGAGAATGAATGGCCCTTTTGTCTCTCCTTTGCCATGTCCCACCACACAGATTCGACCACTGCGACCTCTGGAATTTGATTTGTTCGACCCTTGCGTTACCATCATGCCTCTTCGCGACACGCCAGGAACGCTGCTTGCCCTCTGTGCGAATCCGAACGTGCGACGCTGCACCTGTTCTAAAGAGGCCACTCTCTCATTCGTCATCGCCTCTCTTCTCCTCAAGCCATGATTTGCATCGCATCTCGCCAACTCCCTGACTGGCGCCATCTCTGCTCCACTTGGCAGGCTTCACCTCGCCTCCAACTCTCAATTTCAACATCATGTCATCAGATCGTCAACCCAAGTCAACGTCGTCCAAGCACCATGAAAGCCGCTCCTCATTGTCGTCGTCGTCGTCCCCCTTTGCCATGTCGGATGCTAACATACGTAACTTTGCACCAGTCGCCCGAATCATGAAGACAGCCTTGCCCGAAAACGCCAAGATCGCCAAGGAGGCCAAAGAGTGCATGCAAGAATGTGTGAGCGAGTTTATCTCATTCATCACGAGCGAAGGTAAGTGCATGAACCGACGTTGTTCGTGGATCGACGACTGTTGACTAACGTTGCACAGCATCCGAAAAGTGTCAACAGGAGAAACGCAAGACGGTCAACGGGGAGGATATTCTTTTTGCCATGACCTCGCTTGGGTTCGAGAATTACGCCGAGGCGCTCAAGATCTATCTATCCAAATATCGAGAAGTGAGTTTTGATTTCCTTGCTTCCTTCCGTCTCCTAGGTCAACTTGCCGAGAGACCATCAATCTGAACAATTGAACTGATTGGGATGAGACCCAATCCACAAGAAGCGAGAATCAGAACAGACCTACCAGCAGCGGCTATGGCGGTCCAGTCGGCGGGGGCGGCGGTGTCCAGGGCAATCCCTCGGCCGGCGGTGCCTCAGGTTACGGCGCAGGGCAACCCGATGCTGCCAACGACCTATTGAGCCAGAATCATGGATTGAATCCGAACGACCACGACGCGACCAACGCGTATGGTTATCCCGGCGCCGTGCCCACCGGCCACAACGGCATCTCGAGCGACAACTTCTAAATCCGGCGAGATGGGGTGAGAAGATGAAGATCACTCCGGCACAGCAGGTGACCAGAGTCTCGTATTTGCCGATTCCTCGAGCACGGCCAGTCGAGTTGTGAAGGCAGGATGGAATGAGGCGATGGGAAAAGACAGGGCTAAGCAGAGAAAAGCACAAAGATCTCTCTTTCCAGATAAAGCTATCATTACTGTATATGAGATCATGTGAGACGGATACAGATGGATGTTGATGGAAGGCTGTCTGAAAATCATGGACGGGTCGGTATTATTATGGAGGACTATGGGAAAAGCAATGCAAGAGAACGGATGCAATATCACGTGCCAACCGGTGCTATTAATGAATGTGGTGGGAAGTGGAATTGGAAGCCAACACAAGACGTTGAAAGAAAGGGGTTTCGAGGACTTATCGAGAGTTATGATCTTCAACTCGCTTAGATGGTTCTGTGGGGCCAATGTCTTTTCCGTCTCGTCCTCGTTCATACTTTGTGTCCGTTTAATGACTTCTAAAAGTACCTGTAGGAAGAAATCAGGAAGTGGTGTGAACCCGTATCAAGTAAGTAGGAAGCCTTATGACGATGAGTGATGCAACTAGTTGCTAGGCTGTTGGTAGGGCGTATTCATAGGTACCGATAGACATTTTGTCATTAAATCATAGCATGTAGTGGACGCCCTTCGTGACATTCGAGTTTTATCGGACGGATCCCCAGCCGTGGCAACCGTGCATGGGTGCAGGCAGGTGTGACCTGCCCTCCATCGTAACTGCCCCATATGACAGATCAAAAGATTGGTTGGAATGTGCCAAGAATCCGAATTCTGTTGCCGGCGATAAGCTTATCCGATGGCAAGCGATGGAAATGTTGATCTCAGACTCCCGATAGACCAACAGGATTCATCCTCTTCACACAAAGGCCTAATTCGAAACAAGTCGTTTATCTTACCTAATGTGCCTTAGGAGGAGACCACAAGACCACCTTGAGAGTTCCACCAGTATAAATATCTGATCTTTCCTAAATCCTTGGCTTCCTGTGTACCCCCTCAGTGGTATTCAACGATTTACTCCTGCAAGACATTGTGACACCCTGTATCACCTTTCTCCAGTAATCACCCAACCTCGAACACCATCTATCCGTCTGGATATCCTTCGAGATATGGCTCCTCATGCGGAAGTCGCAGCAGTCACCGACACATCATCAGTGGTTGTACCAGACCCCATATTGACCAAGGGCGATACACATGCTAAATTCACCTTCGACGATGTGCTTCCTCACCGTCAACAATCAGAGCCTGTCTCGACCATCGTAGCGGCCTTCTCTTCTGCACACATGTTCAAGAGCAAGAAATCCGCCAACAAACCCAAGGCCCGAAAATGGGATCAGCATTTCTCCATGGAAAGCAGGAGCAGACAGCCCTCGTCCTTGAAAGGTGCCATGAAGTATTTCAAAAAGGACACCATCAGTCTCTGTGGTGGTCTTCCCTCACCGTGAGTGTTTCTCAATTTCGGCCTCATCACTTTACTCACTTGTGCAGTGACTATTTTCCCTTCCAGGAGGTGGGTGCCAAGCTACCGGTCGCACCACATTTCTCTCAAGATGAGTTAGCAGAGACTGCTCAGCCTTTTTCTGCTGGCAAATTCGACACATTGAGTGGCGATTCAACGTACGACCTTCAGATAGCTCTAAACTATGGACAATCCATGGGACCGGGCGCTGTCCTGCGGTTCATTACCGAGCATACTGAGGCTGTCCACAACCCTCCTTATTCAGATTGGGATATCTGTATGAGTGCCGGCAGTACTTCTGCTCTCGACATATCACTTCGAATGTTCCTAGAGAGAGGTCACTATGTGATAACTGAAGAGTACACCTTCAGCTCAGCAATCGAAACTGTACTACCCATCGGCGCCAAGATGCTCGGGATCAAGATGGATGCCCATGGAATGCTTCCGGACGACCTAGATCATGTTCTTTCCACATGGGACGAAAAGGCTCGAAATGCACCTAAACCATTCCTCGTTTATACCGTGCCTACTGGACAAAATCCCACTGCCAGTACACAGCCTCTGCAAAGAAGGAAGGATATCTATGCATTGGCCGAGAAGCACAATCTGTTTATCCTTGAGGATGAGCCGTATTTCTTCCTTCAAATGGAAACCTTTGTATCAGGACAAACCCACTCTGTTGAAAAGCCCTTCAAGCCAGCCCCAGTCAAGGACTTCCTTTCCAACCTCATCCCATCTTATCTTTCTCTGGACACTTCAGGACGCGTCCTAAGGCTTGATTCATTCTCCAAGATTATCGCCCCAGGCTCTCGGACTGGGTGGGTCACTGGACCTTCTCAGGTTATTGAGCGATTCCTCCGTCATGCAGAAGTCAGCGCACAGACACCATCAGGTTTCTCTCTAATCACCCTCTACAAGCTACTCGAGGAGAACTGGGGCCACAAGGGGTTCCTCGAATGGCTGATGTTCATCCGTGCCGAGTATACGAGGAGAAGAGACATCATTGTAAACGCGTGCGAGAGATATCTACCTGCCGAGGTTGCCAGCTGGAGTCCACCTATGGCAGGCATGTTTCACTGGATCAAGCTTGATATTACGAAGCATCCACTCTACGCCCCTGGAGAGATGGGCTTGCAGAAAATTCTGGACATTGAACACTCTGCTTTCGCGGCCCTTGCTGATATGAGTGTGCTATGTGCCAAAGGTTCATGGTTCAGAGCTGAGAGAGGTTCAGATACAGAACTCTTCCTCCGCTTGACATTTGCCGCCGCTGCGCCAGACAAGATGGTGCAGGCTGTGGAGAAAATGGGTTTCGCTTTGAGGCGAGAATTTGGTTTGGAGCAGGTTGCGCTTGAGCATACGCAGAACGGACATACGAATGGACATGCGAAATAAGTGTTCGGCCGAAAATGAATCAACGATCGCATATTACTGGTAGCGCTGCTTGAGGGTGGTAGGCTCGCAACGTGAGCCGATTCGTGGCGCATATACGCTATCTCATACTCGTCTTTCAAAAATATTTCCAAGCGTCACTTATTGGGGAAGGGATGTTTTGCGGTGAGAGTTGAAAGCAGCCTTTCACCTCACTTGAACGCTTCATTTAACAAAACTTCTGAATTCGGACAGGAAAAAACTCTCGAAGAACATTACCTCTCGGTCATGGATTGGTTTGTCCCACGACAGACAGGGAAGTCGTCCATGGGCAGTTAACAAAACTTACAAACGCTTCATACTCCAAGTTTGTGGCTTAGAGTAGACTTGCATCACACATGCACCATGGCGGTATCTCACAATCCAGCCTCTCAACAGCGGTCGACAGAAGTTGAGGTCATAGACATACCTGGCGTGGACCTTCTTTGTTTTCTGGGATTTTCTAATTACTTTCATGGTCCTGGCGTTGGTTGGTAGATAGATAGCGTAGATAGCGTCACATGATATCATTAATACAACCATGAATGTTATTCTCAAGGCTCTGGGCGTTCATGGCCAAACTCGCGCAATAAGTAACTTGTTATTTGACATCAGCTTTATGTCAAGTAGAGTCACCGTCTATTTGTAAGAGGTTTGGTCATTCGCTCGTAGATTTATGAGACAATCTAATAATGTGATCGGGAACTGGCCAGTCGGATGTGAAGAAGGGATTTCGCCTTCTGGCTTAGCCTTAAGGGCATACATAGTCTTCTTCTGCATCACCATCACTCATATCTATCAAGGTTACACAAACCCCCTTTTGCTGCAGCCTTGCCAATCGCACAACTTATCCAGTCCTGACCGGCCACCAGCGTTCAAGCCTTAACAACATCAAACCCCTTCCACCCATCCAACGCCTCCCTCGTAACCCTCGCATAAGTATCGACGCCCGCGAGATAAACCAACTGCTCGCGGGGTTTCCCCGGGACATTGGCACCCATATACCAGGAGTCGGTCTCGGGGAAGAGGGTCAAGTTGTTCATCTTCTGGATATCGTCGCGCCACTCCTCGGCGGCGGCGGAGCGGGCGTCGATGTACTTGACGCCCTCGGCGCGCATCTTGGCAATCGCCGCCGCGATCCAGTCGATCTGGATCTCGATGATGGGCGGGCCGTTGGACAGCGCCGTCGGCGCCTGCGGCGAGTACACCATGAACAGGTTCGGCATCTGCGGGATCGTCAGTCCCAGGTACGTGTACGTGCCGTGTCTCCACTTGGCGCTCAGCGGCGTGTCGTTGATGTCGGTGAGCCCGGCGTCGAGGAGGCTACCGGTTAGAGAGTCGTAGCCGGTCGCGAGGATGACGATGTCGTAGTCGTGGTGTTGCCGGTCGTTCTCGTCGCTTTTGCTCACAGTCACGACGCCCGAAGCCGTGAACTCGGCGATGTCACGCCTTTGTAGGTCTAGTAGCGTGACGTGCTCCTGGTCGATCATCTCGTAGAAGTCCTGCTCCAGACTGGGCCGTTTCGTGCCGAGCCAGTGCGGCTGCGTCGCGGGCGCGACGATCTCGCGCTTCACCGGGTCGCGCACCCGTGCCCGCACCTTGTCCGCCCAGAACGCGTACAGCTCGCGGTTGATGTCCTTGTCCGCCAGGAACTCGCGGTAGTTGCTGAGCAGAAATGCAAAGCCACCGCGGCCCCAGATCTCCTCCCAGTGCGCGCGGCGCTCGGCGGGCGTCGCCTCGTGGTACGCCTTCGGCGCCGGGTTGTAGGGGAAGCCGCCGCTGCACTGCTTTGCCGACTGCAGCACGGACTGGTAGAACGACTTGGCGGCGTTTTGCTCCTCGGCGCTCATCTGCCGCTGCCGCATCGGCAGCGCGATGTTCGGCGTGCGGATGCTCGCCGTCAATTGGCAGGTTGGGTCGTGCGCAAGTGTCTGCACGATCTGCACGCCGGTCGCGCCGGAGCCGATGACCAGAACTTTCTTGTGGGATACGTCGAGCGTGTCCGGGTACAGTGCGCTGTGGATCAGGCGGCCTTTGAACTTGTCCAGGTTCTTGAATGCCGGGAAGTGTTTCTTGTAGGAGCTCCCCGTCGCCATGACGAGGTATTTACACGTGGCGATGCGCTTGGGGTCGTCGGTCTTCACGTGCCATTGTCCCGTGCCGGTGTCGTATCGCGCAGCGGTGACGATCGTGTTGAAGTACGCGTCCCTGCTGAGGTCGAGCGTCTTGTCCACGTGCTGGAAATACCGTCGCAGCTCCTCGTGCCCGGGGAATCTCTCGGTGAACGTCCAGTCCTTGTACACTTCGGGGATCGACAGTGAGTAGTAGGGCGTTTCGCTGTCGACTCGCGCCCCAGGGTAACGATTCCAATGCCACGTCCCTCCCCACGAAGACCCTGCTTCGAGTAGTTTCACCGACAGCCCCAGCTTGCGGAATTGGTGCATGCCATACATTCCTCCAAACCCTCCTCCGATGATGATGACATCGGCGGCGATGTTCTCGACCTCGTTGTTGGAGCTTTCACCATTGACATGTCGGGTCAAATCCTCCTCGTTGGAATTGGTGCCATTGACGGTAGCGTGGTTGGCGGTGTCAAAGTCCTCGGGTCGATTAGGGAGCGCTGCCATGGTTAGGAATGCAAGTAAGTCTCTTATCACTATGAAATGTGCTAAGGGGTATCTTTTGTTGGTCCTTTGCCAGTGTCAGGTATCTCGCGACGAAGCTTGTTGGCTACTTGACAAGTGCAGAACATAAAACGAGTACTTGCTAGGAACAGGCCTTGACCTGCTTCAAAGTGCTCTCAATTTATACTTGGCTCAAGATGACAGAAAAGCCTCTTGTCGCACGCCTTACCTGTCACGAATGTTTGGAGGCCTGAGTATGCCTGGTAGAATGGGAGCCTCAGATGATGCGGGAGATCTCATCTTGGGACCTTCGGGCATCCCTCTAACTCGACCTCGGGGATAGAGTTGCCTGACTCTTGAGATGGTGATGAGAGACCTGGTTCCTCCTCATTGTGCTCTCCAATGAGCGAGCTTGGCTTGAAGTGGACACTTCCCCAGGTTTGTAGCCGAGGGTCACGGCCGCGAATGCTCATGCGCTCTCGCGAGGTGCTACTCTGTAGGACCATTCAGATCGGTGATCTTGGTTTCTAGATTTCGATAGGCCATTGAACCAATCGAGTTGTCGACGTTCGTTTATTGGAGGCAGAGTTCTAGTTGCTCTTCTTCATAAGCCCCTTGGGCCCAAGTATTCCTAACCCTACCTTACCTAGATAGTAGGTACTTATTTGACATCTGATCAGCACTCAATAAATCTCCAGATATACTAACACAATTATTCCATTCGTTGGCGCACAGCTGCCTTGGGTCGGCTGCGATCAGAGTCTTACTGGTTGGATGCAGAGTTCATTGATAAACGAGCCGCATAGGCGATCAGATCTGCATAAATGCGCCCCTCCTTGACTGTCCTCAGGCAAACTATGGCACTTGATAGTTTCTTGGGTGCAACGAAGGCGAGTATTATTGATAGTCGTGTGCATACTGATTTGTTCCGTCATTATTATGTTTATCATTAAGGCCCGGACTTCGAGGGCAAGTCAGTTAGTTAGCCATTGTCACCTCTCGGCAAGGACCCTGCTTCAGGCACTTCTGACCGTGGCAGGTCCACCTAAGCACAGCTCGCACTGTAACCTCGGTCCCTGGAGGTCAGGTCTTTCACCACTTAAAATCTATCCGCAGCGGATACGTCCCACAGATTGTGACCAGAATGAATTACTCACCAACAATCTTAATGTTTATTGCATGTACTACCGAATTGGGTGTCAACATGGCCTAGATGGGATGTACGTTGAAAGTTGGCTTCGATAAGGGACAACGCCTCTCTCCGCTGTACGTACAGACGGGATGAGATGGCTTGGGACTTGCTTGGAAGGACTCTAGGGGAAGGAAACTCGACAGCGTCAAGCACTAAACGCGCTCGAGACCTGGAAGGGCTCATGTCGTTCGCCGCTTTCCGATGGACCAAAGCACCAGCAGAAGAAAGTTGACCATTAACCATGTCGAGCCCTATCAGTTGACTGAGGGGCAAAAAGCCTCGCCAAGAACGACCGACCTTCATTTGGTCGAGTTTGGGTCAAGCGGAAGCCGCCTCTGTACTTGGCGTAACCTTCTGTCCCCCCTGGTCCCCCAATGGGAGGGCGTTGTCGCCCAAGAACACTCTCCACCACACCAAGAGCCTTATCACGCCCTGTAGAATTCGAAGCTCTCCACCATTCAGAATCACGCTCGCTTCAAGCTTCAAACCTCAATATGACATGCGGAATATCGTGAGCTTCAAATGAGGAGCTGATATCTGATATTGATCATAAAAAGATTCTACTCCCTCGTCTATCTCGGAGATCTCTTGTCATCCTCCACTCGATATTCTGTTCAACGATCTTCCCTGTGTGGTTATCGAAGCCTCTTCGACACCATGGGTTATAACGACATGATTCACAGGGCCAATTTGGCCGTGGCTAAATCTTTCGTGGGTAGAAGGTTTCGCCTCGAAGGCTCTGGTCACCCCAAGGAGCGCAAAGGCTCCTATTTCTTCACCGAAATCCGTGCTGGACTAGCAACTTTCTTCGCTATGGCATACATTATCTCCGTCAATGCGACCATCGTCTCCCAATCTGGCGGTACTTGCGTCTGCTCACCGGATAGCCCGGATCTTTGCGACAGTGACCCCGAATACATGCTTTGCGTGGCAGAAGTCCAGCGAGACTTGGTCACTGCGACAGCAGCCATTGCTGCTTTGACGACCTTCTGCATGGGTCTTTTTGCAAATATGCCTATTGCTCTGGCACCTGGAATGGGTCTTAACGCCTACTTTGCATATACTGTTGTCGGATACCACGGCTCAGGTCTGGTCCCTTACTCTGTTGCCGTAACTGCAGTTTTTGTCGAAGGCTGGGTGTTTGTCGGGCTCACCATCCTTGGATTACGACAATGGTTGGCTCGAGCGATTCCAGCATCCATTAAACTTGCTACAGGTGTCGGCATTGGTCTTTACCTGACTTTAATTGGTCTGACCTACAGTGCAGGCATTGGCGCGGTCACTGGTGGCACTGCTGTCCCTCTTGAGCTTGCAGGGTGTAAGCCAGAGTTCAGGGATGAATTTGGCATCTGTCCAGCTGGTGCAAGAATGCGCAACCCTACCATGTGGATTGGTATCTTCTGTGGTGGCTTCCTCACCGTCATTATGATGATGTTCAGAGTCAAAGGCGCAATCATTTTCGGTATCTTGCTCGTTAGCATTATTTCGTGGCCCCGCGGTACCGAGGTCTCATACTTCCCATACACCGACCTTGGTGACAGCATGTTCGATTTCTTCAAGAAGGTTGTCACATTCCATCCTATCAAGCGCATCTTGGCAGTTCAAGAATGGGACATCTCGGGATACGGCGGACAATTTGGTCTCGCTTTCATCACATTCTTGTATGTCGACATCCTGGATTGCACAGGTACTCTGTACTCCATGGCTCGCTTCTGTGGAGCTATCGATGAAAAAACCCAGGACTTCGAAGGCTCTGCCGTGGCATACCTCGTTGATGCTGTCGGAATTTCAATTGGAGCGTTACTAGGTACCCCTCCGGTCACAGCGTACATTGAATCTGGTGCGGGTATCTCAGAAGGTGGCGCCACAGGCCTCACTGCCATAACCACTGGACTCTGCTTCTTCATTTCAATCTTCTTCGCACCAATTTTTGCCTCCATCCCGCCTTATGCAACTGGCACAGTCTTGATCATCGTCGGTTCGCTGATGTAAGTCCAACAACCATCTCTTCACTCAGATTGAGAATTATGCTAATCATCATCCTAGGGCTAAATCTGCGGCTGACATCAATTGGCGATATATTGGAGATGCTATTCCAGCATTCCTGACTATCGCCATCATGCCATTCACATATTCGATCGCGTACGGCCTGATCGCTGGTATCATCTCCTATATGGTCTTGAATACTATTGTTTGGATTATCGAAAAGGTATCCGGTGGCCGCATCAAGCCAGCTGACAAGGAGTACAAAGATCCATGGACCTACAAGATCGAAGGCGGTGTTCTACCTCCTTGGGTAACCCGTGCCGCCAAAGGCAAGAAAGACTTCTGGCGACCATATGAAGACGTTGAGCACAACAATAACGCGCCCATTGGTACTCATATCGATGGCCAGGAAGGTCCTGTTGAAGGACAGAAAACTGTACACAATACTGGGATCGATGATGTCAGGGACGGTAGTACCTCGTCTGATGGAGAGAAAGTCAAGCAATAAATTGACGATCAGAGCTGCAGGCTTGAACGGCAATTCAGTTTTTCATCTTCGAGCATGTTAGCTTGGTGGCTGCCGAAAAGGTGCGGGAAACAGTTGACGTACAATCTTGTGACCAAGTCACATCTCTTTAATGTGTAAATCATCACCGATACCCATTCGTTTTAGACAAGGACAAGCAGAATATCATACAATTGCATTTCACAATCAAAAATAAGAACTCGTGACTTCTGTGTATCATGTTTGATTGTGCTTGTTAACGAGTGATAAAAATACCACATAAGATAGGGAGTTCGAAATTGGTTTTCGTACTTCGTATCCCTCTTCGACTACCGGGTGCAAATAAGCATGAATGTTGTGTATTAGACCTTGGAAGGATCCCCTCCCGAGTCCCCGTCACCCACAGAGTAACTAACTAACTAGAAGTCCCGCCGGTAACCTTAATTCATTGCTTGAAAGTTTCAAACGAAAGCTGTAGTAATACCAAAATACAAGCCTTCCAATTCATACGGATCCGCGGCGAGCAGAGCTCATCTGCATGCCGAAGGAGTTATCGTACTAGACCAGTGGTGATGCTTTGTTAAAGATGTGAAATCCAGACGCCAAGCCGCAATAAGTACAGTAGGCTTAAATTCCCACGCATGTCTCGCATCGGAGCGGAGCGGACATGAAATCGTCATTTATGTCCCGCAGATGCAATCTCTCGTATATGCCGTATGCCTTATTGCGGCCATCGCTGCGAATGCCGAAGGAATCCTAACTAGTGAGACACCGAGATCCAGAGTCCACCTTGTAGCGATAATGCCGACTACGAGTCCATGAAATTTAGAAAGAAGATACAAGACTCTCCCGCACCAAAAGCTGTTGCCTACCAGTTCATCATCTTTGAAACAGATTATGTTCAGTGTACGATGCACAGCCATGAATTTTGACGTTGTTACTATGGATCATGGTTTGTGTGTTCTCCTTTTCCACTTCCAGCCATCTACCGACTAAATTGGGGGCCCACTCAGGAAACCAGACGATGAGCGAAGTACTTAAAGAAAGTCATCTCGGTCAACGTAACGACGAAATGGCTCACAATAGCATCTTGGAAGCGCTCCATTTCATCCCTTTATACCATTTTCCATCTTCGAAACTGAAAGCATGTCCGACCCAGAAGTCGAATGTACCTATGCGACCTGCTCAGTGAAAGAGCAAGGCATGATTGAGTACATACCGGCATTACCCGGGAACATTGCGTATGCCGGAATCTTCTTCTTCATCCTCATGTTGCAGGTATACTTCGGTATCAGGTACAAGACATGGGGCTTCCTCGCAGGCATGGTGTGCGGACTCTCCCTCGAGATTGCGGGCTACGCAGGCCGAGTCCTGCTCCACGACAATGTATTCGAGAAGACCAATTTCATCATCTACCTCGTGGGGCTCACGATCGGCCCGGCGTTCCTGTCTGCTTCGATATACCTCTGCCTCGGACGGATCATCACCATCTTTGGGACGAGGCTGAGCCTGCTGAAGCCCAAGATCATCACGTGGATTTTCATCTTGGCCGACTCGTTGTCACTGATACTACAGTCGGTTGGAGGCGCGCTAACATCAATGGCTGACGACGAGGCAAGTAATCAACAAGGCGTTGATATCATGATAGCCGGGCTATGGTCACAGGTCATATCGTTGAGCGTTTTCATAATCCTGTGCTCCCATTTTGCTTTCAATGTCCTCCGATATCCCCTCAAAATCAATCCACAGACGGTCTTCATCAGGCAGACCATCATGTTCAAATGCTTTCTACTAGGTAAGTGCCCTGCAGACCGGCTCAACGACCTCTCGCAACGCGTTTGAGATTACCAAATGCTAACTCTGTATTCTCTCACACCTTTAGCGATTGGGACAGCGACCATAACGATCATGATCCGCTCCTGCTACCGCCTGGCCGAGCTTCAGGAAGGCTTTGATGGGAATCTGGCGAATGACGAGGTCCTTTTCATGATCCTGGAGGGACCCATGATCATCGCTGCTGTCGCCGTACTGACGATCTGCCATCCTGGTGTCGTGATGGGCGCAGATATGTGGAAGAGCACTAGCTTCAGACACAATGGGGCGGAGGATGCGGTGGCCCCGTATAAAGAGACTGATGAGGACGATAATATTGCTATGGTTCCTGTTGCGAGGTACTCGAACACGAGCCTTGGTTTGGAGCGGACGAAGAATTGGACTCCTGCTTGAGCTAGAACAGGAAGATGTATTTCAAGGGGTGTCAATTTCCCAATGGAAGGGTTGATGCTATTGAAAACTTTATGACGGCTTCTGACATGTTTTGGGTACACGGTGTTGTGGTGCGTGCCTTGACTTGGTCTGCTCTTTTCAGGATATGGATTTTAGATGATTTGCTTGTATCTCAGGGGTGGGACAGGCTTGCAAAAACTTGACTTGTAGACATCACAACGTCTCTCTAGTGGAAAGGGGGTGATGGCGTGAGGGGTAGTTTTAGAAATATGGAATCGGTCAATGGTTGTTTTGAAATATAGAATTCGGAATCCTTAGCTTGAGCATGGTCGAACGATGTTTCGGAGTCTAGATGGGTCATTGACGCTACGGATTCGGGTGGACACGCCGGGTGCGACGGGAGGGTTACTGCCGACCGGCTTTCGAAAAACAGTGGAAATGCATGATAACTCTAGGATGACACCAGAAGTGACCAGAGAAGCACACCATGTATCGAATATACCTGCTCAATGGGTTTAAGTAGTTCTAAGCTAGAATGAGCCACAGCAAGAATGCAAGGTTTTAACTTAGAGGAGCTTTGGTAGGCATCAATCAATACAAACTGTATCTATCATGGAAAGTATCTGTCCCTCACACAGCGTGGGTAGAATCAAGAGATTCTGGGGGGGGGGGGGGGGCCCCATTGGGTGGGGGAAAAACCGCGCATAAAAACCCTCCTTAAAGGCCCACCCGGCAGACCAAAAACA